TTTACGTGACTAGTAAAATTCTAACACACATACAACTTGTGAATTTTTACGACGACTCACTGTTGTCGTGTGCTTCTCGCGACAATAAAAAACCAAATTACATGAATAAAAATCAAAATTGCCTTTTGACCGAACACGATTACTAAGGAAAACCGGGGCATACTGCAAAAACTTGAACCAATTTTACACCAAACCCTATGCTAAATTTTCATTGCATTTTGTTTAGTATACTTTTACATTACAAAAAATAATTGGGAGGAATATTTTTACTTGAGTAATTTAGTACATAAAATGGGGTTACTTTAACATCCGGGGTACTTTGACACCTTATGTGGCTACTAATTTGGTTTCATTTTCAGTAGCTACCGAAATTATGTTTATTTTATTTTTATGCCATATAAAAGCCAAAACACACCAAAAACTTACTTATTTTTTTTTAAGAAAATACAAATAAAATATATTTTTATGTTTTGTGTTTAATAAAGTTTATTTACATAATATATTACATCACGCAAAGTACCAAAGTACCCCCCAGACTAGCATAACTTTGATTTTCAACGTAATTAAAGGGACTGTCGAAATTAATTTTCTATTTTTTTTTTTTGAAAAACTATGACCTTGAGGCAAAATTTTAAATTTGTTTGTTAAAGCAGAAGGGTCAATAGTTCTGATGCTAATTTTTTCAAGAAAATATTGCAACAAACAAAAAAGTAACATTAACAAAACCTGTCAAAGTAACTCCGTTTTACGGTAAGTAATTAAATTTACCTTCTGGTGCAACAAAATAGCAAATTAATTTCGCTGCAATTAAATGTGTACATATTTTTAAAACTTAACAAAATAGACATTGACACAGAGCCATAAAACGACTATCACCCATAAAAGGATCGTTAAACTCCGACACTTCGCATTTATTTGACCAATAAGACTTCATTTCTCAACGTCGTGCCACCTAATCTGTCATTATTTTATTCGGAGTCGTCCGATAATTTGCTATTTTCCGTCCTAAACAATGACCTTACTTGGACAATTTTCCGACAATAAAATCCTTCTTTATTATGTTATTTACAAAGTTAGGTTAGTACAGACGGCGATTTAATTCGGTGCTTTTTTCCTTATTACCTTCCCCGAAACATTTACGAAAAATACGTCATAAAACCAAGATTGCACACAAACAAACAATTACAGTATCTTTTATTTCGTCATCAAGTCGGAAAAATGTACCCCCGTCACGTGTGCCTAACAGTTTCGAACCGAACAATTACCATTTTTTTTCTTTCTTTTGCAAATTCATCTTGACTGGTGTCATTAGAGAGAAAGCAGCACGAAAACGGAACCGAATTAAATGCTTACACACCCTTCGGGTGATGATTTGATGGAGGAATGTCAGAAATAAACAAAGGGGACGACCATCGTCACGCGATTGTGACATTTAACCGAATCAAGAAGTTAGGAACAAGGGAGAAAAAGGAGTTAATAATCCTAGCCGCCATATAAGTGGCGAAATAATCTCAGACCATCAATTTATAAAGCAACGTGCATTCAAAATAAAAAAAGTTAGTTAAAAGTTTAATGACTCGGAAGTTATAGTGTCTCCTCTCCCGTTCTCAAATTTAAAAGAACTCCCATTATGACTTTTTTATGGGGCAATTTCAGTTGGACGCTCCCGTATCCTAAAACCTGCAAAATCTTTTCCGGTATTCTCATATGCAGGCCCGGAATCGCCCCCCAAATCCGCCTCTGTAAGCTTTTTTCAGTCTCGATTGGTCCTCAAATAGACTTGCATCATCTACGAAGCGCGTGCGATCTAAATATAAATCAAACACCGCCACTGCGGGGGAGAAACGCTTATTTTCGTAGCGATGCACAAACCGTTTAAAACTTCGGGCCCCCCACCTGGTTATTGTAAAACACCACAAACTAGAGCACAACGCGAAGATTTAAAAATTTTATTGTGTGCGTCCAATGGATCGCCAAAGCAGGACATTGAACTTGGCGTGTTCGCCCTACGCCACTGAATCGCTTTGATTAGACATGACAGTTCAGAAACGCACTGTATTTATATCCTAGGAGTTGATACACGCTCCTTACTTGGAGCCACCGCACTCTCCCTAGTCGCCCGCCTGCGAAATATAACTCGATTGATAAAAAGCCGAAGCTTCCTGGGCATGTTTATTTATCGAAGAATCAATCAATTGGCGAATTAGCGAATTGCTATGACCATGTTTCAATTTTTGTTTATTTCGGAAAAATTTGAATGAACACTGAAAATAGACCGCTCTAAAAATAATTTCAATGAATTAATGAATGACTAAATGGAAATTCTTTCACTTATTGTTTCTGTATGTGATCTCGTCTGTAATTATTAAATCAACGACTGGAAAATGGAGAATGTCTGCTAACACATACAGAGGGTGGGATTGTTTGCGTGACTTGTTTCAAATCGCAGCTAAACAATCCCCGACCTGTCCTGACCTAAAAAATTCTCATGGGACGGAAACGTTAATTAACATAACTAACATGTAAGGAGTGATCTCCTTCCAACAAACAAGTTTTTATTCACTATTATTGACCACATACATAATTATAACTATCTATCACATACGAGCTTTTTGCTCATTTTTTTTTTTTCTTCCTCTAAGCGATTTTTTGTTCAAGTTTTTACAAAAGGCCAAAACTTTTTGTACCTGTGATCGATTTTGTGTCCTTTTTTATCACAAAAATTTTTAAGTCCACAAGTTTTGTTCATTTTTTTGTGCCCGTGGTCGACTGTTTGCTCAATTTTTTGTTAGAACAAAATTTGTTTAAATATTTGTGAAAATCAATCTAAATTTCTAAATGAGCGTATTGAATTTTTGAAAGCATGTAATAAAAGAAAGGAAATGAGAACTCTGCAACAATTAGTTTTTTTTATTGAATGATGAAAAAAGAACATGTTGATTCGAATGTATGACAACTGTCTCCTTACCCTGTTTTTTTTCCGTATGTTATTACAGGTCGAAATCCGAAAAAATCCCCTAAAACTTTACTCATTTAAACAACTCTCCATTCCCGAGTTAGCAACAGCAAGACAAACAAATCAATCACCCTGTATTTAAGCCGAAAACGAGCTTGAAACTTATAACAAGATCGTATCGATCTTATAAATCCAGAATGAAATAAAAACTGTTTTTATATGAAACTTAATGAATAGATGGATGAAAACGGTTTTATTATTAGATCGACAACCACAATTTTCCTTGAATTCTAAATTTATAAACTGTTATCCGTCGTCTATCACGAATAAAATTTTATCTGTCGGTAACATCTCGACTTAAAACATTGGTGCCAACCGCAAACATTGTCAAGATTAAAAAAAGTTAGGAGATTCGCGCGGGATTTGAGGGCAAAAAGACGGAAATAACGTATAGAGAGGATGTCCGGTATAAATTTAGGTGGAAACGTTTCACGATCGGTCTTATCTTAATTATCGCGGGTCGCCTTCTCGAAGACAAAGTCTTAAATCAGCAAGACGTCAGATTATCGTGACTTATTATTCGAGCTTCCACATGTGCCTTAAGAAATTGCAACGTTGAAACAATAATGTGATAAAATGTATTATCATTGAATTAAAATAATCGGTCGCGGGAATGTCTGCACCACATATGGTCACCATCAGTGGAAATAATTTCAAATTTTTTCACTCTTCGCTCGTTGTTATCATAACGTGGAAAATCCCACCACCACCAACAACGAAATTAATTAAAAGTAGTTAGAAGCGGGAAACGCGTTTTCGCTTCGTAATGAAAACTCTTTCAAGAGTAAGGTGTCACTGTCACTCCGTTTATTATTCCAGAGATTTGCATATTATGTATTCATACTTCTCGCCAGATATTTTAATAAGTAAAGAGCTTTTCCGGGCCGCACCGCGAATTAAGAATTAAATTATTTCATAAAGAAGAGACCCACTTAAAATATTTTGGTTGGAACGTGCAGCGGTCCTACCTGATACCAACAGCGACCGACGACGAAACGAAAATCAATTTTCATTAAAACCGACTTGTGCTACCAACACGTGCCGTCGACGATAAAAATTTCCCGGCATTTATTTTGTCGTTTATTGTACACGAAATGCAAATGGCGAACGATGAACAAAACAACATACCTCGTCTTTTCCGGTGGAATCGTCCTCTTTATTTCGTCACACTGTGTATTAGCGTCTTGCTGCAAAGCAAAACTACTTTTCTCACACGAAAATAAATCCGTCGTTAAGCGCACCGACTCCGACTATTTCTGAAGTTGCGTCTTGCTTTGTAAAACACAAGCAAAACGACCAAACAAAATAATGGGAGCATTGTGTTCCATAGTCTTCCGTCACAAAACGGACATCAACATTACGGATTCGAAAAATTTTCTAACCGAATACAACACACATTTTTAGACACTCGCTTTCAATTAACACGACGTTCAGATGAATTCATTACGAAACAGTGGCGTAACGTTAATTAGAATATTCAAGCAGAAAATACGGCGATATGTCCCCGAAACTCATCTTTTCTTTTATTTATTTATCGACTTGTTTATTTAATTTCAGCACATTTTCGTTGTAAAATCAACATACGAGTTATAAACGAGTTCATGTTGCGTTTATAGAAGTAATTAAGTTTGGGCGCCGCTGTTTTGTGAGAATCGAGGCCAAGGGGGCAAACGTCATAATGTGATGCATTACTGACTCTCCCACTTAACGCTGAACATATGTTGATGAGTCGATGTGTCTTCTGTCTACTACGCTATGATAACTACTGTCTGGAATTTTCATCCTCGTTGGTCCACAGTTTACCTGACAAATGCTCTTCTTGCGAGTTGAAAAACTTTTCAGTTTTTTTTTATTTAATATTTTATTTTAAATAAAACTTTTTTTTATTGAGATTTACAAACGATTTGGACATGATACCTTGAAATTAGAAATACATGGAAGGAAATTAAATTACGAATTTTAAAAATCTATGTTTTTTTTATAGCGCTATGAAGATCCTGTTGGCTAAGCTTCCCCGACCCTGGATTGTTGATGAGAAAAAAGACGATGGTTATACTGCCCTCCACCTCGCGGCCCTCAACAACCACGTCGAAGTGGCTGAACAACTCGTCCTCCACGGTAAAGCCAACATGGACCTCCAAAACGTCAACCTCCAAACCGCCCTCCACCTGGCCGTCGAACGCCAACACACCCAAATTGTCCGCGTACGTATTTAAACCGTTTTGGGCTTTTTTTGTATTGAATTTTTTTTTAGCTTCTTGTCCGAGAAGGTGCCAATTTGAATATTGCCGACAAAGACGGCGACACACCACTCCATGAAGCTCTCCGTCATCATACTCTTTCGCAGTTACGGCAGTTACACGACGTCCAAGACGTCGGCAAACTTCTAATGGGTTTAGGTACTCAAGGATGCGACAAGAAGTCGTCGGCGAGTATCGCCTGTTTCTTGGCCGGAAACGGCGCCGATTTAGATTTGAAAAACAAAAAAGGACAAACGCCTTTAGATCTCTGTCCCGATCCTAATCTATGTAAAACATTGAAAAAGTGTCACAAAGATAAACAAAGCGGAGAGATGGACATGGGACCCAATCAGAACAATCAAAGCACAAATATCACTTCGACGCTCGACGAATGTTTAGTGTGTTCAGATGCCAAAAGAGACATGCTTTTCCAACCTTGCGGTCATGTGACCTGTTGTTCTTTATGCGGACCGAGGGTCAAAAAGTGTCTCATTTGTCGCGAATCAGTCAGCAATAGAATCAAGGTTTTTTACTTCCGCCCTTCATTATTATATCCTCTCCTACAAAATATTTTTTTAGATCGAAGAATGCCTCGTTTGTTCCGATAAAAAATCGACCGTTTTATTCAAACCCTGCGGTCACATGTGTGCCTGTGACAGTTGTTCTCAAATCATGAAAAAATGCGTTTTATGTCGCGCGCAAATCGAATTGATGGTACCATTGGCCGTTTGTAGTGGTGGCTTGGGTACCATATCAGAGGTAAAGGCGGACACCGAAGAAGAACCCAAACCTTCAACTAGCGACGCAGGCCAAAGTCAAGGACCTCTTATGAATAACGGAGGGAGAGACACTAGCAATAATAGCGATATACAAAAACTTCAGCAACAATTACAAGATATTAAAGAACAAGTGAGTTACATGTGAATCATTCCATTAAATGTTTTTACTATGATTTTTTTTGCAGACAATGTGTCCCGTCTGTTTGGATCGCCTAAAAAATATGATTTTCCTATGCGGACATGGATTGTGTCAAATGTGCGGTGACCAGATGACCGAATGTCCGATTTGCAGAAAAGCCGTCGAAAAACGGATTCTATTGTACTAATTTATCTCTAGTGTTTGAACTGGAAATCGATCTAATTACCAAATACGAATTTCATGCCGTAAGAACGACAATATCAAATATTTTACACTCGATCCTTTTAACTCGACTGAAATTCTTTTGTTAATCTCAAATCTTGGTGCCTGCACCAGTGTAATATTTTTTTTTATTTAGGTTAAATCATAATAAGCGTTGTAGCACCGATGCAATTACAGTACCATCAATTATATGATGCTCTAGATGACATAAGAATGAAAAAATACTCCGAGATGTAAAAAATTCTTCACTTTTTAACCAACACGCGACGAATATTCATTTTCAGATATTTATTATCCACTGTTAGGTATATTGTTATCATTTCAATTGTATTTTTATACATTAGATAACAGTTAATTAGTTAATCGAATTATTATTACTATCACTATTATTATTGCAGCCCCAGTAAGAGTAATAAAAATATTACTGAATTAGTTTCTAGTCTCATTTCTCACCTACCATAGTAACTCAATTATTACAGTTCCAGTGAGATGTCCAAATGTAACAATTTGAACATACCGCCGGTATACCGCGTAAGTGTATTCTATGCGCAAACTCATGCGTTGACATAACATTGCAAACATAACCCAAGTTTTTCGATTCAGGCAAAACCTTTAAAATGGGGTCAAATGTGACTGAAAAGGCACTCCAAATGCTAAAATACCTCCCCCGGGTCTGTTTATCGAATCTTAGACCTAGCCCTGGATCGAAAACTGTAAGTTCAATGTCATAACCTAACTTTTTGTGAGTCTCAATTTCTAGAGCAAAAAACGTGGCCGCGCCCAACATGGGGGTGACAAACACGGTGCAGGAAATAAAGGTTCCGGTCAAAGACAAAACTACATGCGTCTAGGTTACGAAACCGGAAATAATCCGTTTTATTTACGATTTCCGCATGAACCCTACTACCAAGGCCACCAGTACGTTTCCCAAAATATCAAAGAACATAAATTTTAATGCATAATAATTTAGTTTAAGGCGCGAGTATCCTCCGCTCTCAATGTTGGATTTGTTGAGATTGATAGAAAAGAATCGTTTGGACACTTCTAAACCTATTGATCTAGTTTCAATATTAAATACTGGTATTTACAAGCTTCTACCAGATCAGAAACAATACGGTGTTAATTTGACAGACGAAGGGGCTGATGTGTTTAATGCGAAAGTCAACATTGAGGTACAGTGGGCTAGTGAGACCGTTATCGCGGCCATTGAGAGGGCTGGAGGGGTTATAACGACTGCGTACTACGATCAACACAGTTTGCAAGCAATGATTAACACGAAGAAATTTTTTGAAAGAGGTGTACCAATCCCGAGGAGAATGATGCCGCCCCCTGATGCCATTGAATATTACACTGACCCAACTAAAAGGGGGTATTTGGCAGACCCTGAGAAAGTTTCACAGGAGCGACTCGTTTTGGCGCAAAAATATGGATATGAGCTTCCACAAATTGAGAAAGATACAGATTATGAGATGCTAACTGAGAGGAAAGATCCAAGACAAATTTTTTATGGGTTGCATCCAGGATGGGTGGTTAATCTCAAGGATAAGGTTATTCTCAAGCCTCAAGACAAGGAATTAGAAAGATATTATGCTAGTTAGACATGCCTGTAATATTGGAGTTAAAATAAATAAAATATAAATTATTGGGTTTTTGTTTTTTTTTGCGTTGGCATTACAGTTTAGAATACAAATTATGACGTTTACATAACCTTACTTTTGCAAAAATTGTGATACATATTAAAAAATATGATTTAAAGCCTTTATCATCTAGAATGCGATGCACTTTCAACCGCGAACCTTATTTAAACATTTGAGAAACCTAATACATACTAGTAAAATGGCAAAAAGTAAATTTGATTATGTTAGAAATTTCGAAACGGAAGAAAAACTCCTACCAAATTGCTGGATTGTGGTAAGAATCGACGGTAGGGCCTTCCATAAGTTCACCACAAAACACAATTTTAAAAAACCCAACGATGAAAATGCCCTCGCCTTAATGAACAAAGCTGCAAGTGTGGTTATGAACGAGTTTAAAGACATCGTTCTTGCCTATGGACAAAGTGACGAATATTCATTTGTGTTACGCAAAGATACGGCGTTGTATAATAGACGAGGCCCCAAAATAATGACTTATCTCAATAGTTTATTTACATCGTCTTATGTATACCACTGGAACCATTTTTTCAAAGAAACAAAACTAAAATATCCACCAGCGTTTGATGCCCGCATCGTTCTCTACCCAACTGATGAAAATCTGCGGGATTATTTAAGCTGGAGACAAGCTGACTGTCACATAAACAACCTCTACAACACGACGTTTTGGGCCTTAGTACTTCAGGGTGGTTTAACAAATACTGAAGTAATTACCAATTGATATTAATTGAAATTCTAGTTAACATTAAATGATTTTAGGCTGAAAAACGACTATGTGGCACGTTATCTTCGGATAAAAATGAAATTTTATTTAGTGAATTTAGTACGAATTACAATAATGAACCTGAAATATTTAAAAAAGGCACGATTTTAATTAGGAAAAGAATTAAAAGTCCCAAACACGGAAAATCACGTTTGGTTATCTTACCTTTACATGAAGATCTGATTCAGGATAAATTCTGGGGAAGAAATTCGGAAATTCTCGATATTAAAACTGCACAACTTTACGAATGGCCTGAGGCAACACCCTTGCCGTCATTAGTATTGTCACAATTACACATTGACACTCCTGATACAGACAAAGAAATGGTTGTTATTGAAGAAACGGATTAATTATTTTAACTGTATTTATTTTTATAACACACAAAAACTAGTTGAACAATAATTACTTTATAATACATTTATTATTTACATTTGATACTTGTTTTTTCTACCTTATTATGTATGTCGTAGGAATGAGGCATCCACATAAAAACATCAAATTTTTCGCTACTCGTGCAATACGGAATGATGAAGTTATGATTTAAAAGATCGGTATGTAATTATCAATTTTGGCTCGATGTTTTTGCGCCACACATTCAGCGATCCACACGATATTACGACATTCCTGCTCTTTCAATTTCAAATACGAGTAAAACACTCCAAAATGAAACTGTTGTAAGAACGCATGGACATTCAAACGGACCTAAATCCAAATTATTCAGAATTGAAACTACCAGAAAGTCGGTAATCTTCTCACCTCATGTTCGAAAAACTTATCCTCCAAAGTTTTATCCCCGGGATTACTTCCAGCCCCTTCAAAAAGTTTCGAATACTCGGCATAATACTCGGCCACGGCTTTGACCTGATCATAATCCTCAGCACGTACCAGTGCTGCCAATCCATCAGGATTGAGCTTACCACATCGTGGATACAATTTCGCACGATCATCTTTACTCAATTCGGTGCCAAACGAATTTATTGTGATTATAATAGCACGACGATCAGCCTCAAACTACTCCAATCAAAAAACACTTATTTGGTTTTTAAATACATACCGCCAAAATTTCGCACATGCAATCGGCTGTAGTCCCTCCGATTTCCTTACAAAAGTCGTAAAACGCCTCCAAATACGCCTTATACAAAGTATTACGAATAATCTCAATATTCATCTCATCTAAATCCTGCTCGCTGATACAATCAACAAAAAAGGGGGCCAGAGGAGTGTCCACTAGTACAGCATTGTACAACTCCGCGGGTGTAGACGCCACATGAATAGCTTCCATCTGCTCAAAACTACCCAAAGGGTGGCATTTCGGAATCAACTCTCCAATGGGACGCTGATGCAACGTCCCCGTAATCAACAAAATAATATTGTCAATCATGTAACTGTACGTAATAAAATCCAAAAACGTCGACAGGGGTTCAACCGCCTGATTCCTCATATGTTGGAACTCAATCACCAACTTCTCCCTTAACTTATTATCAATCGTCGAAACGGCCAAAGGGGAAGGTTCGTTGGCAAGAAAAGACCCGTAATCCGTTCCTTGCAAGTGGAGTTTAAGATCTAGACGAAAATCACATTTACCTTGACCAAAATCAAGGGATGAAACTCACCTTCTAGGGTTTCACACTGAACCAAATTCAGATAATCAGATTGTTTCAAAATACCGCACTTGAAGCCCCGACATAATCCCTCCAAGTAACCGGCGTCGATGTTGAACAAGCAGCCCTTCATTTTCGAGTCTTTTTAAGAAAAAATTGTATTTTTCAACGCACCTCACCCAACTAAATTGTCATATGATCAGTGACAATCATGTGACAGATATAGCGCATGCGCGCGCGTACCGACCGAGGCCACAAACGCAAATTTTAATAAAAAGAGGGGCACACAACGGCTGGGAGCACTGCTCAACCATTATTATTAAACAAAATAACATATTTTAAACATTCCAATAAAAAAAAAACATTTTGAGAGTAAAAAAAGCAATTAGTATTTTGTCCTATTTGACATAATTGTCATGTGTCATAAGAGGCATTTTTTGATTCACATAAAATTATAATTTTTTTTTTGATAAATAAGAAATCACAAGTGGGTCGATCGGAATTCCTTACGAGCGCCTCATTAACTACACAGGTAACGTTCAAGGTTATGATATACCAGTCATTGTTATAACAAATGGGAATTCGATCCAATAGCACTTCACAGGTGTCAATGGTGTTTATGTTTAGCTGTCATCGTAGTGTCATAATTACAAGTGAAACAATTTTATCATTTATTAGTCATGATTACGTCGTTTAAATCCAAATAATACTCTAAAAGCTATAAAAACCTAATCCCGTCCAGACGAAGATGTCAAAAATCGCTAAACTATAGTGAATCATCAAAAATGGGCACCAAAGACTTTAAATATGGTATTTTCATTCAGAACGATCTGATGACCGAAATGAAGCAGGGGCAAAACCAACGGACAGCCCTTCTCGGTCAGATCATTAAGATTGAAGCAACATTGGGAAGCGGCAAATACGCAGTACGTTTCCTCAAAGACGCCGAAACGTGGGAATCCACCACTTTCGTGTGCCGTCAACATAGCATAGTACCCGTCAACGAAAAATTGTGGCAGTTTTTGTATGCTGTTACGTCCCCCCAGGAACGTGTCAAATTGGCCAAAGACAAGGAACGCTGCGAGAAGCTTGCAAACATTACAACTGACATAACAATTGGATTTAAAGACACCGATGGAGTTCACTTGGGACAAATTAAATTCCTTGGAGTTGTTCGCGGGATCGGACACTGTGTCGGTATCAAACTACACGTAAGTATGGGCCCCCTTAACAACCAAAACAATAATAAAACGAATTGTAGCAAAAGAAAAAAGACAACAAATGTGATGGTTCATGTGCAGGAACTCAGTATTTCAGTTGTTTGCCCGGGTATGGGTTATTTACGACAATTGATCGAATTGTGATACAAAACAGCCCCCTTATCACAAACAAAAGTAGCGTAAAGAGTAGAAATAATACGGATTTAGATCTTTATTTAGAAAAGAACGTTTCGAGTTTCAGTAAATCTAATCATGAAGAAATCGTTACGAAGTTTGGAGAGTATCCTCAGGAAAACATGCCCCCTAAAACTACGACTTACCTACGAAACTCGCTGTCTTTGCAAAATATCTTAGACACGGAATGTACGAGTGGTAATTCTAACAACGATTTTGATCAAAACACGATCATCCAACCAGACAAGTCCCATTTAATCAACGAAAAGAAAGCCAAAATGAAGTCAGAGATAAATCTGAGCGATATGATTGGCAATTCGTGGCATGGAGCAACCGATACGAAAGAATTACAAAAATTTTCAAACCTGAATCAAACTCTAGAAAGACCTGAAAAGAACGGTSAGAAAAACAATCGGAACAAAAGCGCAAACATTTTATCGCATTTCTACGACGGTACTTTACCCAAACGAAACAAAATCAATCAACCGTCGGCGAAATTCTATGACACCACTCCTCGAATCAAGAACGGCTTCTCGACGAACCAGGAAGACGAGAAAAGTAAGCGAAATTTTCGTTTTCACTAATGTCCGATAGTCTAAAAATAGTCCGCTGGTGAACTCGCGATGCGGACTTTTTTTAGGCGTCTATTTATACGCGACGTAATAGTTCGGGGGCCTTGTCAAAGTGTCTATTTTTTTAAAACAATGTGTTGTACGATAAAACTGTTAAAAAGTTGGTACAATTTGCTTAATTACGTAGCTTGACTATGCTAAATAAGTCGAAACGTTTGCGTGCCAAAAGTAGAACCATGAATCACATTTATTCCAACAACGAGTACGCATTTCTTAATAATATTCCCCTATTTGTCTTAGAAATTAACGAAAAAAGTGAAAAGGCGTCCAACATCCCTGATAAACCCAAGTATCATACTCCCAAACCAGGAACTACCAAAGATTTAACAGTCGGCAGTTTAGTTGAAGTCTCCAATGACGTTAGCGAGGAGCCCCTTTACGGCGTCGTTAAGTGGTTAGGGGCTGAAGAGGACTCCAATTTTGTGTTGGTGGGGGTGGAATTGGAAGAAGAACACAACGACTTACCTTTAACCCTCACCGACGGGACACATAACGGGGAAAGGTTCTTCAAATGTGCTGAAAACAGGGCCCTTTTCGTACCACTTGATCAGTGCCATCAGGACTCTAGATTTCAAGACGGAATCCCTACGCCGGTGCACCAAGCCGCCGAACCCAACTTCCAATCGGTAGGAACAACACTGAAACAACACATTTTTACAAGAAATCACTCGAATCAGAATTTTTACTTTTATCACCGAAATATTCAATTCGAATTCAAATATTTTTTTATAATAACTTGATACGCTTTTTGAATTTACTTCATAACCGGAAGCCGGCAAAAGATAGTTCAAATGAGGATGAAACTTCTTTGTTGAAAAATTATGTTTTTCCACATCCTTTTACTGATTGATTATTCGATACAGACGTTAAAACAATTAAAATAAAGTTGAAGTAAGAACTTAAAAAAAAACAATATATTATTCGTTTTTTCGGCACACAACGCAAACGTGCAGCCTATTTCAGCCCTAGAAATCCGATTGTAGGAATCTGTATTTCCAGATGGAATGTCCGGTGATTGAGGGCACCGTGGCGCCTCTCTGTATGCCCACTGAGGAGGACGTCGAAGCCGTCTGTGGCAAATTCCGAGGTATTCAAGGTCACCACAATTCCTGCTACCTCGACGTCACCCTTTTCTCAATGTTTACCTACACAGCAGTATTTGACAGTTTGTTGTTTCGGCCGAAAGGTCCCAAAGACATCCCCGATTATAACGAGGTAGATTTTTCCGTAACTATTACTTTGAAAAAATATAAAATGTGATTCTCAGGTACAACGAGTATTACGTGAAGAAATCGTGAATCCACTTCGAAAAAATTTATTCGTTCGTGCTGACCGCGTGATGAATTTAAGACGCTTATTGGATCGTTTAAGTTCGGTGTCGGGTTTGACGAGTGAAGAGAAAGATCCCGAGGAGTTTCTCAACTCACTTTTAGCCCAGATACTTAAAGCTGAACCGTTTTTGAAGCTTAACTCGGGTCAGGAGTCGTTTTATTATCAGTTGTTTGTGGAGAAAGATGCCGATTTAACGTTACCAACAGTACAGCAATTATTTGAACAGAGCTTTCTCACAAGTAATATTAAACTGAAAGAAGTTCCATCTTGTCTCATCATTCAGATGCCGAGGTTTGGTAAAAATTACAAAATGTATCCGAGGATTCTACCGTCGCAGCTTCTAGATGTGACTGATGTTATTGAAGGATGTAAGTGGAAAAACTCCTTTTTGTCACTCGTGAAATAATCATTGTTCTAGCTCCTCGTCAGTGTATTGTTTGTGGCAAGCTCGCTCGCTGGGAGTGTCGTGAGTGCTTCGACGACTGCAGTAACGCCGGGCTGGAAAGTACCGCTTTCTGTTCTATGTGTCTGGAAAAAGCTCACAGACATGAACGAAGGTCACACCATCGACCCGCCGTGAAATTAGATGTTTGTGATGATTTCTCTATCCTCGAAGATCACTGTCGTCCTCCTCGACTTTTCATGGAACTGTTTGCTGTGATTTGTATTGAAACTTCCCATTATGTAGCTTTCGTCAAGTGCGGAGTAGGTCACGAGGCACCCTGGTGTTTTTTCGATTCGATGGCGGATCGTAAAGGTTTGGTACCATCTCAGGGCCAAAAATTGCATTTTTATGTGTACATTTGTAGGCGAAAAAAACGGATATAATATACCGGAAATGGTCGCCTGTCCAGATATTTCTCGATGGTTGTCGGATGAAAGAATCTGTCGCCAGCTACACGAAGACTTCCCCCAAGACCGCCACTTACCTGAACATGCGCGCAGATTGTTATGTGACGCTTATATTTGCATGTACCAAAGTTCTGATGTCATGATGTACAGATAGATTTCTGTTTTCTTTACGACTGATATTTTAAGAATATTTATTTCTGTTTAATGTTGTCTAAATTATAGAAGTTTTCATTTAATTTGTTACGAAAACACTTAACATGATTTAAGAAATAAAAATGTAAAGCTTGTTATATTCAGTATTGTTGTTAACTATATCACTTTGTTATTCTTCTCGGAACTGTTGGAACTATCATGACAATGTGCCTTGCCTGCTGATCTAACAATCTTCTGATTCAAGTATACGGCATTTGAAATGTATGTCGGCTTCATTTTTCACAAATACAAAGTGATATGGGCATTTATTAAATTTTAAAAGCGATCCCGTTGGATCGGTACGATTTTTCCCTGTTGTTAAATTAAATATAAAATCGTACTGGCTCATGTAACCCCATCACATAAATAGTTCAACACTTATTTAAAACTATAAAATAGATTTATCAAATATTTTTTGTAGAAAATTTATTTTTATTGTTAAGGAACGGAAAGAGGGACGAAATAAAATTCTAGCAATCGAAACAAACACATTGCAATTCATTTTACCCTTTGAAACACAACAAATATTCGACCAAAACTTTTTTTTAATAAACCTTTACATTATATAAATATTGATTATACAATACACAACAACCAGGGAATGCGTTACATCTCTAGGTAAAATAAACAATTATAAAAATTATCACTAAAACCGTAATCACGATTCCCAGCATTAGTATATATTTGTCTTCACCGGCTCTTTTCTCAATTAGTCTCATTGTATGATTACTTAACCCCAACGTATTTGCCATGTCCATAATGCGACGATGTGCCCCCTTCAAAGTCAACCTTTGCGATCTGAGGGACTCTAATGCATTAACCCCTGTATGCAACATCTCATCTACACCTCTATTTGAATTCTGCAATGAATTTTGGTGCTGTAGCGCATAATCAATGTTGATGGTTGTCAAATCTGGATTAGGGGCAAACCGGCGATTCAACAATTGTTCTCTCTCACTAATCGCTGCCTCTCTTCGTGCTCTTTTCTGTCTAGAGGCCACCAAAGCCGCCTGAAGATGCCTTGCATCATATTTTAACTGATCGCAACGCATTTTCGCGTTAGGTCTTTGGTCGAACGGAACTTTATACAAGTAGACATCGAGTTTTTCACAATTACTGCAATAGTTAATTAAAAACGATGAGAAAAAGACTATTTTTACCTAGTAATTGCGTTGATCTTTTCCTGAATATCAGCTTCGATTTCTTGGACGTTGCCAGAGTTTTGCTCCAAAGCTTGAAAACTTTGTTGCGTTTGTTGAATTAATTTGTTGGTTTGGTGGTAGAGTGTATCCATGATTTGGGGCAAAGACCAGACACATTGCAAAAATTTAAATTTTTAGATATTAGAGCATGTTGTTGACGTTTGCGTCATCTGTCACTGATTGACAATTACGGGGATTTTGCGACGTAGGGTTGGTAACGTCGATTTGAATTATCCTATTTTTTCGGCATTTCTTCGATTTATATACGAACAAATATTGATAATTACATGCAAAATGCTAATGGGACGTATTTTCATCTTCGGATAATTTATTACTCTTTGTTTTTGCGAAATAAATGAATAAATGTCATCGGTGTGTCAAGCGGCCATATTTGTTTATTATTGACCAAAGAAAGTAATGTTAAGATCGCCGGATTTTTCCAAATTTTTCAGACGGGGGGCCGTTTTTCCTTCGATATAATGTCATGGAGGGCCGTTGCCGTCTGTGCGCCGAATTCGGCACTGATCATTTAAACGGTCTCAACGATCTCGATCTAATTTTACGCATTTTCCAACTGTTTCAAGTTCGAATCACATCCGAGGACAAACTTCCAACAACAATCTGCCAATTATGCGCCGAAACAGTAAAACAAACATGGGAATTCAACCAACACATTCAAAAATCGCAAGAAATTCTCCAAGACATCGTCAACACAGAACTCCAAGCCCAGGAAAACAAACTCGATTTCACGCTTACAATCGAAGAAAGCAAACTGAACGTCGTCGAAGTCACAACTTCTGACGTTAAAACAGAAGACCTGATATCTAGGCCCTCGTCAAAGGTGAAAAAAAACGCCCGTAAAAAAGAAAGTGATTCGGAGTTGAGCGACGTCGAGCTCAACGACGACGGTACCGTGACTCCCAAAACTGAGCTCCTCAGCTGGCATTCCTACCCTTGGACTTGCTGCGACTGTCAGCACACCTTCACCAACTCAGAAGACCTCCGCGAGCACCACGCCACCGTCCACGGCCAAGCCCCTACGTACCCCTGCGCCGACTGCCCCAAAGTTTATACGAAATACAGCACTTTTCTCACACATGTACGCATCCACCGCGTCAAACTTCGCTTTTGCTGTGACATTTGCGCCAAATGGTTCCCCACAGTTCTCGCCCAGAAGAAGCACAGAAACGAGCACGGCGACGAGCGCCCCCATTCGTGCACCACGTGTGGCAAGCGCTTCCGCATGCAATCCGCCCTCATAGTCCACGCAAGGTCCCATCTGCCTGCTGAACTCAAAAACAAACACCAATGCGACCAGTGCCCTAAGAAATTCGGAACAAAACCCAACCTCATGGCCCATAAAAGAATACACGCGGGGGTACGAGACTATACGTGTGACCAATGCGGCAAAAGCTTCGTCCAGAAAGGCAACCTCGACAACCACCTCTTGACGCATACAGCTGCCAGGCCTTTCGCGTGTTCAACCTGTGGTAAAGCCTTCAAGACTTTAGTCCGTCTCAGGAAGCACGGATCGGTTCATTCGGGGCTTAAGCCTCACCAATGTGATGTTTGCGGGCGGCAGTTCCGCGAAAGAGGCACTCTGAAGGAGCACCACAGGATTCATACGGGGGCCATGCCCTTCACGTGCGAGTTCTGTGGTAAGAGTTTCCGCTTTAAGGGAGTTCTAACGACACATAGGAGACAGCATACCGGGGAAAGGCCCTACTCGTGTCACGAATGTCAGCACCATTTCACCAATTGGCCCAATTATAACAAACATATGAAGAGACGACACGGAATTAACACTAGTGTGACAGTGAGGAAACCGCAGAGTATACCCCCGACGGGGATGCCACATAGGAATCCCCCTGGCACTGTTCTGGCGCCTCCACAACCTATTACCATAACAGAAAGTTTTGTCGAAACGCCGGCCTCGTTTTACCCTGTATTAAGTTTGTATAATCTGCCAGAAGAATTGTTACAACAGAGAGTGTGAGAAGAATTTAGAGATAGATATAGCAGTATTATTTCAGTGGTATTAGTAGAAAGTTGAAAGAAACAGTTTCTTAGATAGAAAAAAAAAGTGATATTTAGCCTCTCTATGGACCAGTAAGCCCTGATATTGATCAAATAAGATTTGGAATCCAAATTCCAATTTTCGCGTAATCACAACAGAAATTATTTGCGTCGTACATTAATTAAATTAAATTTTTCGTCTTATTTATTTTTACAATTATTTCTTTAAAGTGTGTACAAACATAATAAAAAATGTTACATGTATCATTGGTTTTCCTCATTCCCACCAATTCAACCTGGATAAAATTGAATAAATAAAGTAATATCTTACACATTGCACAAATTCGACAAAACGAATTTTTTGCTTGTGCTTGGGTTTGTTTTGTGATTTCATTATTATTATTATTAAATAATGCAAAACTATCCACATCCCATTTTGAACCTTTCGTTGGTTCACAAATTATTAAAGAATTTCCAAAATTGCTTACTAATTACCAAAAAAAATCTTGGCATATAGTTCCGTGGATGGCCTTTAGTTTTTTAGAGAACAATAAAGTCGAAAGTTACCCTAAAAAAATAAGCCTATTACAGGCTTATTTTACATACATGATCATTTAAAAAAATATTAAATACAACATGGAAACAAATTCGCAAGCAAAATTTTTGATCGAGACGTTACACAGAAACTTTTTTAAATAGTACCTACACACAACCCTATTATGCAATTATTATAAAAAAACACTCATTATTTCGGAATTAATAAACATATTTCTAATTGTTTTTCAATCGATTTTTTTAATCGATTATATCGATATTGAAATTATCAGAGAGCAAACCTTTTTATGAAATAAAATCCAGGTTGACTCAGCCATGATTCGTGGCAGGTATGCAACCAAGAATACACTAAATAAGAAAATCGTGGTCACAGATTCGTGGTCTTCTATAGTTATTTGTGGACCAAATTTCTACTTATTACAAATACAAAAAATCCGTCTATTCCCTTAAAATATTCAAAACAACTAAACAAACTAATTATTGTTTTGTAAATCAACTTGGGTTGAAAGCTTCATCCAAAATAAACAATTCTTATTAATGCACTTTAGTAGATATTATTAGCGTTACTTGCTTGTTTTAACTGAGGAGCGCATCAATATTAAATAACATGTACAAACAAGCCTAATAAATATTTTTCAGACTTACCAGTGATGTTGAGACACTTTAAATAATTTTATAAAAAAAACCTTAGTTGATAATCGGGATAACACGTAACAGACAACACTTTGCACATTTAGACCAAAATCAAAGCACAAATAATGGAAGTTAACATGAAAAAAGTGTTCAAGCAGAATGAGAAAATTTTGAAAATTTGACATAATGCTAGTCACGTGACTTGGTTTTTTCTCGGCTTGAGGTTGAATAGACTGGTTACAGCCCACTTTCTGGATTTTTCACCGGGTTTTTTGAAATGTTAAATAAACAAAAAAAAATATGGTTATTGTATATTCTATTGAATCATTTAATTTTAAACACAGTCGTCGCAAATCTTCCCAAAATTTGCTGTTTTTGTTCTAAAAAAAATTTTTACATTCATTCCCCCTCCCCCAACAACCTGTTGTTTGTCAACGTGTCTATGACGTGTTCATAACCTAGAAAACGGTCGGATGTAACGTCAGCAAGTGATAATCGGAGGCTTAGGCAGTCGTTTTCTCCTCATTTCTGACTGAGTTCGGTGAGTTTTTGGCATGGTTTGAATTCTCTTATATTTGTGGAAGGTATTCGCATATGTTTATGTAAAATTTGGCCCAGGATTTGTCAAAAATGCGGCAGCTCAAGGGAGGTAAACAGAAGGAATCTTCCCGAGAGAAAAAGCAGAGGAAAAAGGAGTTCGCTGAAGTACAAAAACAAGTAAAAACGATAGTGCTCCCAGCCCTCGCCGTGTCGTTTATTTTGATAGTGGTGTACGTTTATTTAAAGACCCGTCCCAGCAACTACAATATGGATTAAACTTTGTTTTTCTACTCAGATATTATATTTTTATTAATAAAAACCTGTTTAAAAATGTATTTTGTATATTTTTCTTTGTTAATATAAATACATCTAAAGTTCACATTACATGGGAAATGTTACAAAACATGTACACAAAAAGTCTCGGGTCCCTAATGACTTCACTTTATTTACAATAACTTATCACAGTAAGTCCGATATGGCACCTCCGAACCAGACAAGCACGATGGGCAGTAGGAATTGCGCCAGGGCTTTGGACAGCGACATCTTTGCTGTCCCCGAGTACGGCCGTGTCACTTCCGGCCCGGCCGTACTCGGGGGCGGCGCCTCGTCCACCACTTTAGGGACAATATCCTCAGCCCTGGGTACGTAATCGGGGGCGGCGATCTCAAAATCACCCGAGCCTGAGCCGCTCCCGTCAAGAAGATCGTCCGAGTCGTCCACAAGCTCCACCTCCTCGCCGTGGTACGCCTTTCGGAGCGTATCAGTGTAGACTTGCAGGTGGTAGATCTGGTCTTTGACAACAGTGGAGAGCGGCGTCGACGGCCGTGTAATGTTTCCGGTGTACTCGCCCACGGAGACGCCGTTCCAGCACTGGTCCGAACTGAGGGGGGCTGAGATGCTGTTGCAGTACTGGTAGGGCAGGTGGGCCCAAAACTGACGCATATGGGACAATTTCTGAAAAAAATACACTTTCGTTAAAGAAATAAAAAAAATGTTTCGAACTTCATACACGTCAATCTGTTATTACAGTTTCTCGCCGTACTAATATCTAATTCTGTAAACAAAGGGATTAAACTTTTTTGAATTGATTGAATCAAACAAACAAATCCGGCCGACGRATTTATGACCGTGAACACCATTTTTGACGTTCTGTTTACATTCGGGCCGCCATGTGGCCTCGGGATGATGTAATTAACCCATACGTACCAATTTGATTTCCCTGACGAGTTTCTCGAGCGGAGTTTCGTTCCCATTGGTGTAAGAAAATTTCGTTTTCTTCTTTTTCCCGTGGATGCGTTTCAATGGGGGGTATCTTTTAATCTCATAATTTGGATTGTCTTCCAAATTGTCTTTATAATTCGTTTCTCTTCGTTTCCTATCAAGGGTCGGTTGACCACACATCTTGAAAATTTTTTGACTCACTTCGGTCCCGGATTCTTGAAAGTTCATTATTGCTTCGGAAATTTTTACGTTGAGCGGTTCGACGACTAGTTCAATGTTGTAAGGTCCGAGCAACCGATCAGCGACCTTATCGAGTGCGTCTGCAAAGTTAGGAAAAAAAAAGGATTAAACAAAATCCACCTGTAAATGGCTCAATCACAAGTTCTTGCTCTACAGGTTTAGAATATTTATGCGCGAGTGTCACCTGTTATTATGCGATTTTTAGAGACTTACAATTGTATAAAATATACGAAAAAATCTTTTAAATAATTCATGAGACGTGAAAAATGTTAATTGGAATTCGGACCTTATCTGCATTTTATCCGGGATATTTATGAAGGTATTCAATACCACAGACGAAAAATTAGTATCGATGTAAATCATTACTTGACTGCAATACATCGATTTTTGGACAAATTAAAGGTTACTAAGTTTTTCAAGCAAAAAGTGGTCAGATTTTAGTTAAATAAAACAATTTTTTATTCTTAATTAATTAATTTGTTTTTTATTTAACAGAGTAAAATATACAGGGTGTTGTAAAATACTTCTTTTACGAGTATTCTTTATATTCATTTTTAGCGGCATAATTCCCATAAAAAGTTGAATTATGCACCATACTTTTATTGCTTGATTTTTAAGAAAATATATTCAAAATTAGTATGTATTAGCGTTAGTTAAATTAAAAAACACTTTTGTAGATAATGATAAAATTAATAAAAATAAAAAAATAAAATAAAAATAATTCAATCGATAAGATCGAAGTCCAATCAAACTTCCATCAGAGTTAAATTTAAAACAATCCAAATCTCTTATTTTACTTTTCATATCGATATATCAATCTTGTTTATTTTTAACAGCAGACACACGTATGCCTTATTTTCAATAAAATCCATTACAAAATAACAAACGCATGATAGTCCTGATAAGATCCTTATCAATAAAAAATTCTACGCTAACTTTTCTCTTTCAAAACACGATCAATTGTGCCAGCATAGATAAATATTTATTCAACTAACGCATCGCGACGTGTCCCTCAAGCCGATAACCCCCCGAATAATAATTTTTCCCACCCGTCAAAACTAATAACCAAAGACAATTAATTAAGCGATAAACTTATCGCGATGATTAATGGTCAGAAATTTCCCTTACCTATGAAATTATCCCAATCGGAACTGAAAGCTGTGTGATGCCTCAAACACGACCCCACGACGGCCGTGCAATAGTCCGAGCAGGGCCCTAAACCCCTCATTCCATTACAACTGCCACAATAAAGCATTTTCACTAAGTCTTTCTCACATTCCCTGTCTATAGACACACTTTGGAGTTTCTTGGCGGCGGAGGCAGCAGTCGCAAGAGCCATGAAGTAGGCCCTCGTCGCCACAAAAGATCTTTTCAATTCCAGAGTGAACTTCCGAGGGGCGTCTCCGAAAGGTTTGACGTCACCCATGTGGTCAGAAAGACAATCCAAGTATTTCTCATCAAACTGGTATTGACTATTGATGACAGTAAACATCCGCTGATAAAGAATAACGAAAAAGGCATCCAGAGTGTCAGAAAGTCGGCTCGCGCCCCTATTGTAGTACGTCTCCAATTTATCGAAAAAATTACTAAAAACGTCCGAATTTTGCAAGTAGATCTTGCCGTACGTCCTCTGGAACATATCATGGAATTGCAACTTGGAGGCGTTCATCAAACTCCGGAAAAGTCCATCGAATTTCCTGGCCCGAGTGTCAACAACGGACGACAAACCGAATATTTCACTCATCACGAAATGATCCAAAGATTCGCTCATTTTTCTCATTTCCAGTTCGGATTTCTTCGAGCAACAGGAGTTGGGGCCGCAGATCTCTCCTGAAACAAATTATTTAATTAAGAGGTGGCATTTTTCGGATTGTTGGGAATGTAATTAAAACAGTAAATTAACATGAAAGGCGGCTTTTGCCACCGGTTAGAAGCGTAATTAAATGCTTAAGACTGGGATTACTGTCTGATTATCATTATCACAAGTCAAATTTACATTCGAGGTACGAGCCAAGGAATGAAGAGAAAAAGTGTTTCAATAGGATTAAGAGCGAGTTTTCTTTTGCTGTAAAACTTGCGGTGGGTTTATTATTCTTCAAGTTGCGTAATGATTTTTAATATAATTCGAGACCTCAAGGCGATATTATTACTACAATTTTAGAAAATGTAGTTTTTTCAAAACATTTCAAAAACGGTAAAGCTTCTTATTTCCACGTTTTGAAAATGCTAGTTTACATCTGCAAAATGAATTTTGGGTTAGCCTGTATATTGTATAAAGTGAATTTGCGTCACTAGCATGCTAAATCGCGCCTCTTTTTTTCCTCAATGAACTTTTTGTCCGAAATAGGAACGGTCGGTTAGATCTTTCCATTGTTGACTTTATTCACGATCCAACGAGTTAAGCATCGCGTTACACGCCCCATCGACCGGGAGATTCCTCGTCTATTACCTTCCAGGTAGAAACTTCGAGTTCCCGAAAGTCCGAATGCTCGACATTCCGAACCGGTGAGACATTGAATAATCCGGGACGTGTTCTCGCCGGTCCGGACCTGTCTGCGACCTTGTCTCCTCCACATTGAATGGATGCGATTTTTCGGCAATCGATGAACACGCCGGAGGTTGGGCCTTCGCGACGCGATAATGTAGTCATCGCCTTATTAAGAACCGAATAAACAAAATTTTTATTGTTGACGACGACTTGTTTTGGTAATTTATGCGCGCTTTGCATTAATTTGGCGTTAATTTGAGCGGAGGAGGCAGACCAGATTTGGTGGTTTATTTATTTTACGCCGGTTTGAGAAAGAGGAATCTCAGAAATGTCGAAAACTTTAAGTAAAACGCTTGTTCGACAATCGAAATTAATTGGGAACGTCAGGAATTCGGATAGTTCCTCAACAAAGTTATGAGACAAGAGTTTGATGGGATGGGGAAAGAGAGTCAAAAGGGATCGATTCTTATTGGGTGGAAAAATAAATAATACTATTTCTGGCATGTGTAATTGTTTTGTTGCTAATAAAAGAACGTTTTATGGACTATTAACAATGCAAGTGATAACAGTGATTATTTATTTTATACTTTGTAATACTTTGTAACGGGCGTTCATTAAAAAAAACTCGCATGTATCATCCACTAATGAGTTTTAATTATTTGTCATCTTGACAACTGGATAACTGATTTAATCAAAGACCTGCAAAATATTTGTCAAAACACTCCTGACATTTTTTGAAATGAACGCACGTTATTTACTTACACATACACAGTATCCAGTTAAATAAATCGAAAGAAAAAACATTCTTTATGCTACAAAATCTAAATCTAAGTCTGGGTGGTTCGGAGAGAGGTATGAAACATTCAATTTTCTCCTATTTGAATATTCTTTTTTTTTCAGAAAAGAACAATCAATCCGATAAATAATGATGAAGCCAAAAATGCTGGAACTGATGGGTTACACCTAAGTTCCGGAGTTTTCGAAGAAAAAATCATTTGAGAATTTCCAATAAACATTTTTTTGTGAAAATTGGTAGTCCAAAAATCTGTAAAATACGTGAAACGTTCCGATAAACTTAGGTTTGTTTAGATATTATGATAGACGTTATAGACACATAAACACTGATTTTTACCAAATTTCATATTCATCGATGATAAGAAGTTTCCATAAATAGAAATTGATTGAGCTACGACTTAAGTTATAGAATATTATTAATTTTTTTTAATAAATAATAATAAAATAAATAATAAATAATTAAAAAGTTCCAGCATTCCTGAACATGAATTTATACAAAATAGTCAAAATATTGAAAAAATACTAAAGTTGGCTTATTAATGCCAAGTTAATTTAGTGACTGTGTTTATGTATTTCACTTAGTAATCAACGTCGGGGCCATCGGGTTTTATTTATTCGTATTTTATTTATTTTCCTTATCATTCTGCGTACTTTTGATTTTTATCTGAGGTAGCTTTCATGGCGATCATAAATCTCTACGGATTTATTCAGCAAAAAGCGATAAACAAACATTCTTTGTCCAAATATTGTTAAGGTTATTTTGGCATAAAGTGCGCCATAAAACCACCTTTAAGTGTCGGACCGTTTTTCGCCCTATTTGCTTGATATATAACCGCCTTCCCTTCGCATTTGGGTCGTATCCTCCCTCGGCAATTATAAGCAATTAAAACCGATTTCACGTTTTCCAGTCAAAAATCTTTGGGATTTATGTCCCTTCGGTATTGACGTCCAAAAGACCGTAAAATAATCGACAAATACCCGTGCGCTTTTATACCTGAGCGGATTTAAGCTCGAGGAAGCCGTCACCTGCCCCAGACAAGTCAAGATAAGAAGGAGCACTTCATTAACGGTTTGAAAATTCCTCCGAGTCGTGTGCAAGAAGAAAACCCTTGTACGGCTTAATTCCGCCGTCATTAGACTAGGTTAGCACCATGAAAAAAAATACAACGCAACGGTAACGATTTAATTAAACGTTTGGCCCCGTGATCTCTCACGAATCACCGGCGGTTTTATTGTTCGGTTCAGTTTCGAGCTTTTCATTGCGAGGACCACACCTGAACACCGCGGGTGCCCTCGAGCTTCACAGGGGCGGATCGGCGCAATCGTATCGTACACGAAAAAAACAGCTTTGACGTGTTTGAGTAATTAGAGGCGATGCTGTCGCAGGTATTACGAGTCGGGCCACCTACGCCACTTTTGGGCCTCACTCTACGTTCATGGGAAGAGGGAGGATTCGAAGAAGCGGCGACTTGAAAGCCCTTGCATATTTGTGGGCCGTCCTGCTCGCGCCGTGCACCTCTTCGTCTCGACGGAGCAGAGACGGACTTGAGTAAAGCTCACACATTGTTTTGACAGATAAAACACCTAAAATTATTTGTTTTGAGCAACGCCGCTGGAACAGTTGGCAGAAAATTAAAATCCCCAACTAGGTGCCCAATTACAAAAATATTATTATATCCTCAAAGTTGCAACAATTGACCGTTAATTGCAAAGAAACGATGCCGCTTTTGTTCAATTAGGTGTTTCTAAGCCAACTAATAAAGAAAATTACATGTAGGCTTTTCCGGCACTTGTCCTAAAAATAACTGTTTTCTTCTTTATCCTTATTTTTCTTTATTAGATACCATTTCACGAAATAATTTTTTATTATAATATTGACAGTTCCAAAGAAGTGAAAATTATAATAAAGAAAACATTTTTTGGTATCAAAAAATTACACTTTTCATGAAAGTAGGTATCAATATAAGAGACAAATATTAATTTTTAATATTTGTTTAACAACCTATGAATGCCAATGTCAACATCTGAGATCTGAGTCAATATTGCTGCCAAAAAATGTTACAAAACAGTATCTTGTTTAATTATTTGAAATTAGAAGTTTTGGAAAATTTCCTTTTGGGGCATTCGCGTGCAGGTGCGTTCAGTCCAGCCCTGTCCGAATAGCGCCATCTAGGTAACCGCGTCTGTCCTTGTCTGGAGTGGATGACCGCTCTCATCGTGGGAGAGAATGCGCCACCAAGCATCCGAAGAATGCGAATGTTTTAACGCTACCTAATTAGTTATATATATTATCGATATCGATGGCGTCTCTGGAACAGGTGACCGGCATGCAAATTCGCTTTTTTCACCTCTGTCCCATCTCTTTATCTTAATTAAGTCAGGCTCCCAACCCACCTTTCCACATTAATTCAATAAACGGAGAGCAAATAGAAAATGTGTTGTTTATTTATTCAAATGATGGAAAGGGTCAAACGTGAGCTCTCAGCATAATACAATTTTTATTCTCGTCGCGGGCAATCTATAAAGCCGCTCATGCGATTTCGAGAGTGGAAGATTAGCAAACGAAACGGAAAATTAACTTGCCCTTATCACTGATACACATGAGGAGGTTTTAATTAAAGGCAAACCGTGAAAATCTGAGACAAAAATTGAGGAAGGACGTTAAGTGCGAATTAAGGCAGAAATGAAGAGATTTGAGAATTAAATGGCGGAAAATGAAACCCACAAGGCCGTAGGCAACATCCAAACTGACTTTAATTACAAAACGACTAAAACCACGAAAAAAGTTGAAGCGATTGAATGGGATATAAGCTTCACTTGGTGAGGAACAAATTCCTACAAATTGAAATAATAAAAGCCATTCATTCTAGCCGTGGAAAGCAAAGCAAATTGCAGTTTTCGTTAAAAAAAACTTAAATGGTAATTCAATTCGCTCCAAGCGACAAAAACCGAAATAAATCTCGTTTGACACTCGGAGATTAATTTATTAGTTCGCAGGCGCCTGTCTGGTCTTCTCATCTTTTATCTTTCGAGAAAACAATACAATACCAAAAAGATACAACTATACATTACAGTTTACTTTACCTAATCTGGGTATAAATCCGTTTTCATGAAAAACTTTTGTAATTTGACCGTTATTTCGCAACGCCACAGGAAATCAATAGGCCTCAAATATGGCCGTTTTAGATAGCCATCAATTCCTTCCACCAATTACTTTATTAAAAAGGCCGGTATTGTGGAAGCGATAGCGCTTTTAACGGGTCCATAATGCTGCCCATTGACTGTTTTGTAAACACGATTTTGACGCAATCGGTCGTCCCACCAATCGAACGGTGGCCTGCGGCGAATTTTCGATTCAGGTAAAAATCGCGGAAAAACGATTTTAAAACCCAATGTAGGAATTTTCGTCTCGACCCAAGTAATTTGTTGTGTAAATACGTCCCGATGTTCGTTTTTTGGTGGCGAGAGCGCTGTATATTTACCTTGTGTTGACACGCATACCGCTCTTAGATCTGTTTATTTGGTCTGTCTCGTAAGTCGTCTTTTACACGTGTTTTATCTCTAGATAAAGGAAACTTTCATAAACTGTTTATCCTGATGGTCGGTAGTTGAATGTGTGTTTTGGCGCGTGAGGGGACTCCGGATCGCCACCATTTTCATATTTTTCCCATAAATATTTATCACTGCCGAGATAAAACCATAAAACACTCCAAAAAAACGCTCACGGATTCCCCAAACAATTAACGAGATCTAAATCTGGCGTAAATGCGAAACGCCGGCCAAAGGCCCGAGATCTAAAATCGCCTCGTTTATTTTCCTTGCTGCGTTGATAAATAAAGCATCTTTGGAGGCGAACTTTTTGGACGATGCTGAAGGAAATGTGCCTGCAAGGTCAGGAGTTTAACCGGAATGCAATCGTGCAGCTGCATCGACATTCAACACATGCCGTTATGGTGAAGGGTTGCCAAAAGGTGAATTTAAGCACAGCAACCAAGTTTCAGTCGTCAAGAATACAAAGTTATGTTGAAATCTACCACTTAAGGATCTTAGGCGAAAGATCCACTCCAAATTGAGACAAATGAACACAGAAGGCCAATTAAGTGGAAACTGTAAACAGGACCGTAATAGAAAGTGTCCAGTTGTGAAGCAAACTGAAAAAACTGAATTCAGCGCCGATAAAAAGGGTTAAAAGCAAAAAAAATCACCTTTAATTACAATTCTCTGAAAATTAATAGTCGGTTTGCCAATAACTTTTACTTTGTTTACTTACCCTCGTCTAATATCGAAAACAGTTTTTAGATCGACACAGTTATGATTTCATGTTAAAGAAATATTTAAAAGTTTACTATAGAAATTAAAATACTTACTTCGTCAGTTTGATCTTCAAAGAGACTCAAATATACCTACGATTCTTTTATTTATTTTTATCCAAATTACTACTCTTGAATAAAAAATAAATCATAAAATATATTTTCTTGTCAGCTTTCAGGGCAAAAGACCATAAGAATTCACCCATTCATTCATTAAAAAAGGCAAACAATTACCATTTATCACTTTTTTCTTCTTACTTAATTACAATTACGAAATATATGGCTTCTTTAATTTTATGACACCAATTTCCGGTCATCATAAACTCCAATGAGCTCCCTTTGACAAACCAATTTTGACTTGTTTTGTTTGTTTATACCAAGTTTGTGTATGTTTTGTGCATTTCCTTTGCCACAACGGTTATAAAATCAAAATCAATTCCGTTATTTGGCTATAAACAAGCAATCTCTTTGGATTGATGTTCGAATACGGCCCTGTTTAGCCTTATCTGGTTTGTGCAACTTTACCACTTCAAGTAATCCTCGACTTGACCTAACGGAATCGGAAAATTAGGACACGCATCAATAAAAATTCCTCGGATTAATGTCAACCGAATCGAATTGACGTCCTTTTAAATTAATTGCCTGAATATTCACCAAACTTAATTAAAAAAATGTCATGACTTCGAAACAACGTGTAAAGAAATGTAGACCTATTAATCTCCAGTTTCCCAATATTTTATATTCAAATGACAGGAATTAATTTATGGTGAGTGTTAAAGTATATTTTATTGGTGGCAAACTCGTCATAACTTCATTTTTTAAACTTCTACAAAACTTCTGAGAATCCCCGGAGTCCCCGGACTCGTCCATTTGCAAACAATGTCGTTTTACAACGTCGTTACGTTTTGATGGACTTCTGGCGAACGTTATAGTCTCTTCGAATTTTATTTCAACTCCAATTTTCTCATCAGAGTGAAAGTCTGGATGTAGCAGCCGGTGCAGCTGAACACTTCACTTTTTCCTCAATAAAAATATTTCACTTTCCGCCTCTTCGTCTCAATTAGCCTTTGATCTCGGCCAAAAGAGGTCTGTAAGTCTTCACTTGCCGGCAATTAGCCCGACTTACACCCGAGGTTTTTTCTCCCATAGGTGACCCAATGATTATAAATACCCATTGCATTTGAATTGTTTATTTTGTAGGATTTATTCCGGAATGTGAAGAATCTTCGGCCGACGCTCTCCGTGTCTAGAAAAATTGTATCCGATTTTTATCGCATACAGGTCGCTGGTAAAATCACTAATTCACTCAGCCTCTGTCTCATTACAAATTTTTCAGTTTTTTGTCTGAAAAAACACGGAAACACGTGTTGGCCTAAAATTAGAACCGGAAACGCACGTGTCGTTTTATAACCAAACGACCCCATGAAAATCGACAGGAGTACAAACTAAATAAACAAAAAGTGGCTAATTAGATAACAGAGCCGGATTAGGGGCTTATGTTCGATAAAACCTCATCTCCTGAAAGAAAAAAAAACAAACCTCAGCTGACATTATTATTAGACTCTACCGACCGGTGCAATAAACAGCGGATATAGTAAAAATGTTATAAAACAAACTCGTCTTTGTGCTTGTGAGATAAAGCCGCTCGTAATGTCTTCATTTTAAAAGGTGGTGCGGCATATGTGCGGTTTGTGAGATAATTCCTCTTTATTCGTGACACCTTGTGGAAGGAAAATTATCAAGAATAAACAGCGGCCACGTTCCAAAGTACCCAACTAAATTCGGATGCTCGAAAAACAATGTTTTTTGTAAGTGATGACATGATGAGTTCGCAGAATCGTTTCCTGTGAAATCACACCGAAAGAAATTTGATTTCCGACAAGAGGCGTCTTGAGGTTTCAGAATAGAAGTTTGATTTGGACGAGAGTGCCGGCGTTAGATTCAATTTATGACTCAATTGTTACTCATAAGAATTGGCATTAATTTTTTGAAGTGTTTCCGGTAGTCATATGTTTTCCGGAAGGAACGGGAGAAAAAACCCCAAGTGAATAAATAACTCTTACGCAACGACAATTGACGTTTATTGGAATTTATAGAAAAGCGATAAACGTAATTTGTGTTTTTACGGTAATAATAAAGTGTTATTAACTAAAATAAATTTGTCTAGGTCTATTTTAATTAATTATAATTAATTATATTAATCGACGGCTTTATTCAAACTTTCTGCCTCTTTTTTTCAATGTGTTCGAAATGTTAATTCCTGCTAAAGTAAAAATTACTATTTTCATTCCACCTCTGGCGTATAATGTTTGTTTTTATTGATCGTCACCACAATTATTCATTCATTCAATGCAGAAYATCAGTCAATGTCGAATTTAAAATAGTATGCAGATATAATTTCCGGCAAAAATAAACGTGTTATATGAAACTAAAACGAAAATGTTTTCGGAGAATTTGATTATTTTCAAACAAACTTGAACCTAATCTCTGAGTTTAAAATAAAATCCCCGATCCGATTATTCACTTATTATTAGGAAAAACAATTCACCTAATCTCCGATCCATTCCCGATAATCCTCCACTTCAAATCCCCGAGTTTTTATTCTTGTCACAACTTTCAGACAAAGGAAAAACCCTCTCGACAAAAGTTACCCGATTACGTATTCTTTTCAAGTTTCCCTCAACACTTCAAATTACGTTTTGATAACTCACTACTCATTTTGTTTTCTCGTGAAGCTTCACTTAGAAAAATGTCTCATTAATATGCACCGACAGGACAAAAGACGAAAAACTCTCATTTCCCTTTACGGAAAGTCATCCGCAAACATATGTCTGTGAATTTTTCAAACCTCTACGACCCACAATCGGTCGTTAGACTCATAAAGGTAGCGGCAACGTCGCCAAAGCCCACCTAACCATTTACAATCACACGTTCCCGAGATTTCCACCTCAGGTACTTTCTTCACATCGATCGATATCGTCGCCGACACTTGTCTCCCACGGGAACCCGTTCGATTTGTCCCTGTTGCACGTTCCCAATCAATTTTGAAATGAAAAGCAACCCCGGATGTGCGCGTCGCACACTTTTTTCAATAGAAATGCTTTAATAAAATGGTGAATAATCAATTACGACCCTCGTGTGATGAATGAGGGTGTGAAGTGACACACACATCTGCAAAGGGAGTTATTTTTGAAGAGAGGTCTAGGGTTGCTCAATACCTCGGCACGCCCTTCTTTTGTACTCGACACAATCGGGAAATATTTACAGTTTCTTTTGCTGGCGATGCGGGTTTCCGGGAGGACCGCACACGATTCATTCTACCTGAATTTTATTACCATTGGAGGTAATGAGGAGACACTCTTATCTTTATTAGTGTTAAAAGTTAAACGGACGCAGCGGGACAACGGTGCCGAAGGGCCATACACAGCTTCCTAAAGTCTAAATTATCGAGACGGTATCGGAGATAATCGCCTCGGGAAAGCAATGACTGTTTACTTATTTACATATTCACGGAAAGGTCAGATTTGAGACAGGCGATTGATTTAAGACACGAAATTTTCTTCCATAAGAAAAAGTGCCTTATCTACCCCCAAATCCGGTGATAAGGGTGACAGGTAAGTGACTGATGGCCGGAGGTTTTTGCAGTTTCGTGCCCTTTATCGCCGCAGAGTATTTAATAATTAATGCATGTCCAAGGGTGTGTCCTCAACCAACCAAAAATAACATTTAAATAAATAATTGTGTAATTTATCATCGAATTAAACCCAATGTGGTTTATTATATTCAGCATAAGCCATTTAATTCTTAGAAAATGTTTTTATTATTTCTTGTTGGAAACACACAGGGTGTCTCAGTCAAACCTTCTCGACTTTATTAAATGATGTTTTACAACTGTTGTACTCTAAAAGGTTACTTTACATCTAAGGTAATAAAATTTCTTTGATTTGAAACTTGAAAAGTAGGTAATAATTGTATAAGTATCTTAGGTATAATAAAGAATAATGTACATATTGAGCGAATCAGAGCCAATGCTCCAGTTTTTGCAAGTTTGAAGAGTGCACCAATTACCATATTTTTGAGAGAAGAAGCAAAATCAAAACTGATTTCGTAGATATAACGAAATATTTTTTTCAAGAAATTAGATTAATTACATACAAGATAATCTCTTGTACATACCTACCACCTGTACCTATCAATTCTTTTTCGAGTAATTTTAAAAACATAATCAAAAAGGAAATGAAAATACCTTTCTCTTTCTCAATGCTGCTAAATTAATTTTTAATTTCTACATTTTGTGCGCCGCCCGGTATAGTGTGAATAAAGCCAGCCGTTTCGAAAAAACGGGAGTTTTAAAAATTAACATTCCTCGAACGTTACGACTGCAGACAAGCTTTTTACAGCCGTCGTTATGGCAATCCAATAAAAAAATAATTAAAGCTCCTCGGGGAGTGATTTTTTATACGAAAATCGGAAGTTATAAATCCGCTAACTGGGCAATAAAATCCGTGTAAACTCGCCATTTAAAACAATCGCAATAATATTTGAGATGTTGACTCGATAATCACGAACAACCTCGATCGATATTTTCGTATAATTTATACAAGGGATGGTTCGATACGGTTGCTACGAGGGTCGTAATGAACTTACCACCGACCGGTGTTTCCTGGAGCCAACTTTTGGGAAGTTTGGCCGCTTCTATGTCATTCCTGGCCTGTTCGCAGAACCGAACGGGGTCGCCCCACACCCCCGTTAGCACCAAAACCAAAATACCCTGTGTAAATAAAAGTCGTATACCCATCCCCCCACAGTCAGTCCTTTGAATCACAGCCATCGCTTCAATTTTTTTTGTTAATTACACAATTTATTGCGATTTTTTCCCAAAGTCTAGCTTCGCTCCATCACGAGCTCCGGTTGCTAAGGCACTCAACCCCCGACATTCACATTCCGGTGATTCCGGCGACTGTTCGGACCGCAAGAATGCACACCACTCATAGGCTGTGCATGCGCACCACTGGCATTTTTCCGGAGCAAAAATTCATCCAAGCTTGACGAGTCTGCGCACTTGAAGTCGGCTGTGTACGACGGGATAGGTTTGTTTTTCGCGATTTTCGCGAAACTGGCCGTCATTAGTGTCATTTTTTTTGAAAGGGGTGAAGAAACGTTGGCAAAATTTCTGTGAGTTGTGGCCCCTGCGGGCGCTCGCCTGAAATGAACAAAGTCTCCTGTTCGGCCAAAGTGGCATTTAAGAAAGTCACTCACGTGATTTTCGACCTGGATGGGCTGCTCCTAGGTGAGTGTTTTTCCCGGAAATTGCGGGAATGTCATCACAGAAGTGACTTTGACCTTGTAATGTTGGTTGCCTAATCACAGGCGGAAAGTTTAAACTTTTTCAATTTGCGATCTGTGCCGTTTCAGATACTGAGCCTTTGTATACGAAAGCGGCCCAGAACGTAGTTGGCAAATATGGCAAAACCTACACTTATGATATCAAACAAAAGGTGTTGGGATTTACCGGGGTTGACGCGGCCAAACAAGTTATCAAACTCTTAGAGCTACCCCTCACATGGGAAGAATATTACAATTTGGTCAAAGAACAGTACCCTTTAGTAATGTCCGATGCCAATCTTATGCCAGGTATGTAATAACAATCAAAAATCCATTTACAGATACTGAAAGTATCTACAAACGGGTCTTCAGCGACATAGCCAAGAAATATGGTAAAGTATACACGCCAGAAATTCAAGCAAAAGTAATTGGAAGAGTCGAGAGGGAGGGTGCCAAGGTTGCTGTCACTGAAATGAAATTACCCATCTCACCTTCACAGTTCCTCCAACAATACAAATCCATGGCAGAAAATTCCCTAGCGAGCGTAGGGATAATGCCAGGTAGAGGAACTTCATCTCATTAGACTTAGACTTTCACGTAATCTGGTTGTGTCTTTTTTTACTTTTATTTTTCCGTTTTTAGTAGTTTAGTTACATAACCAGACTACCTGAAAAATGTTACAAAAATGCAGGTGCTGAATTTTTCAGGTGCTGAGCGACTAGTGCGCCACTTCCACTCCAAACAAGTCCCCATTGCTGTGGCCACTTCCTCCGGCCAAGACACCTATGACTTGAAAGTGGCCAAACACACATCTCTTTTCTCGCTTTTCAGTCATGTAGTGACTGGGGGTACCGACCCCGAAGTGGAACGCGGCAAACCTTCTCCTGATATTTTCCTAGTCTGCGCCTCACGTTTTAAAGATAAACCAAAGCCTGAGCAATGTCTGGTGTTTGAAGATGCTCCAAATGGGGTACAGGCGGCATTAGGGGCGGGAATGCAGGTGGTTTGGGTTCCTGATAAACAAACTGATGAGAGTTTGGGGAAAATGGCAACGTTGAAATTGAACTCGTTGGAGGAAATGAAACCGGAGCTTTTCGGCTTACCGCCTTTGGAAAAGTAGTGTGACAATATTCAGAATTTATTAAAGAATTATAGACTATTTACATTTTCTACAATGTGTTTCATTTCACTTATGCCACAGACTGAAGTTTTGTGAGGATGTCGGAGGCGGAGAGATCTTTGAGTGAATAGCAAGTCTCCTTGCCTAATTCTACAGAACAAAGAGAAATAGAATTTATATAATTAACTTTAAAAGACCTTACCATGCCTAGCCCACAACTTAGGCTCGACTCCTGAACATTCTCTAATTAAAATAGGCAATTTGGGGTTATTTGATTTAATAGATACGTAATGTTGCTCGATGAAATCTCTAGAGGAATTGTTATATAACCTCAAAAAAAAAAGTTAGAAATACTTGCCTAACTCCTTGGCTGCTTGCAGATTTTTGACATAAATGAAGTCGTAATTCTTTCACACGAGCCCCAAATCTGATTGCAGCAGACATAGTGCTATTTCCTTTACGAAAAAATCGTTTTTGTTTGCTACTATAAACGTCAAAACTGCTGATACCGTTGAAATATCTGTCAACGAGCTGCCAACATTTATCCGCTACTACACCAAAATCACTAACTAAATTCAAACAAAAAAAATATTCGTTTAAAGTTGATTTATTATGTAAAATGTATAAAGTATGTAAAAAACAAAATGCTAAAATTTTCTCTTATTAGATTAAAGACTCAAAAACAGCCTTATTTCTCCAAGCTTGATGGTCTTTTCCAAATAAGGTGTCGGCAACAGGTCTTGAGGTAGTTAACGCCGTTTTGGCTGCTTCTAAACCAACAGAAAGACATTCTTCCTCACTCAATCCCTCCAGCATACCCGCTATAATGCCACTCGCTAAATTATCACCAGCTCCGCTAACGCTAGCTACATTTTTACTCCTAATTACTTTATAATGTCTAATCCCTATTTTATCACTTCTAGAAGAAAAAAATGATTCAGTCGCTTCACCCTTTCGCGCAACAACCACCCCATCCACTCCCAAAGTCACAATCACATTATCAACAAAATTAACCAATTTCCTAGTAATATCAACCACTTCATCTAATTTACTTTCATATCTATCTCTACTTTCAATTTTCAAAACCTCGGCGATATGTTTCAGTTCGTTGAAATTCGGTGTTATAATCTTCACAGCCCTCCAAAACTCCGTCTGGAAAGGTTTAATCGAAACTTCCAAATCGGTTGGCTCAAAAAGCACTGAAATTCAAAAATTCCCTCTTTAGTGACTCACCAAACCCACAAACTAAAAAGTCCCTAGTTTTGCTAACCACCCCAACTGTCAAAACCAAAACGTAAAAATGGCGAAAACAAAAACAGGCATTTGTGCTGTTATCTTATCAGTAGCATCCTTCTTTTTTATTTTAACCGCGTTCTGTTCCGGTTATTGGCTCGTCAACGACGGCAAGATCTCCAACCCGAAATTCCTCCGTATAGGTATGTCACAGTCACCTGTACAAAATAGGAGTGGCAACCACTGATTTTCAGGTTTATGGGAGGTCTGTTTTGATAAATTCGAAGATTTTAGACACCACTACGACAACCAGTTTACTGGCTGTTGGTGGGTGTTTGAGGAAGAGTATTATATAATTCACGATTTCCTCCTGCCTGGCTTCTTCATTGCCACCCAATTCTTCTTCACACTGTGCATGACTTTAGTTCTAGTGGCTGTAGCCCTGACGTGGATTTACTGTTTCTGCAGCCGAGACCACGACAAATACATTATTTTATTAATGAGCAATGCGTTAAATCACTGGATCGCTGGTTTGTGTGGCTTTATTTCAGTCATGATATTTGGATTGAATGGAGACAGAAGAGATTGGATGCCTTACTGGCAACACAACGATTTAGGTTGGTCTTACGCGTTTGCCGTTGTGGGATCCTTACTTTTGTGGCCTGCGGGGGCCTTATATCTAGCTGAGGGGCGACGAGCCCGTTACCGCCAAATGGGACACTCAAGACCTGCCTCTGAATACAGTGTTGACGTCCCCAAATCGTCACACACCGACATTTAAACTCAACGAATTTAGTTGCAATTTTTAAGTTGTGTAAGCTTGATTTGAAATGTACACAAAGATTTTATTTTAGTATTAAGTGTCTCATAAATATTTTCATTTGTATTCCGTCCGACGAAAGCACATCAAATGATTGCCTTGACTAGTATATAGAATACCAATACGAGTATTGTATTTTTTATATATTTATATTTCAAGTTTTTTTTACGAAAGTAATTGTTAATTGTAGTTGTAGTAAGTGTCTGACACTCTTCATATTGTACAAACTCGTTTAACGCCAATAAAATTATTAAAATAAACAAAATATGGGAAAAGTTTTGGGTTAATGTTAATTTTTTCTCTTTCCCTTTTGAAGTAGTTCAAGTATGACTATTGTTGTGCCTGTGACTGGACCTTGAAGTAATTTGTTCTGTTGTGTAATGGGTCTAAAGTGAATATTCATATGCATGGGACACGTTTGAATGAATGTCTTGTCTTAATGTGTCCTAGGTTAATTATCTGCCATCCTTTTAGATAGTCAAGACACTTATCATGTGAGAGCGGACTGTTTATTTACTTCAATTAATGTTTTTTTGCGAAAAAAACAAATCATTGAAGTTTTATTTACACCTATTTGTTTTAACAACGCGGAAGTATATTTATAAATTTTATCGGCATTGTTATCAATTATCTTATCCCCTGCTCCAGGAAGTGTTTTTGTTGTGAAAATATAAAAAAATATTCTGCAAAAATACAAACCATTTTTTCAAACAAGAAAATCAAAGGCAGCGTCTTTAATTAAAAGATAATTAATTATGCAATTGTGACATATGATTCACAGCTGCTAACGTGACTATTGTTTTTTTACGACTAATTAATGTAATTACAAAAAATAAACCCCAAACTTTAATTTCTTAAGAAATTGGCTAAAACTGTGATTAGTAAGAAAAAAAATAGGTCAAGCAACGATCGCTCGTGCCGCTCGCTTGAAACCATGTACCGTACACGTTGTTTGGCTCGTACAGGTGTGGTCAACGCCACACAGAAATCACTCTCTGTGCGTTTTAAAAACAACTCTAATGTCATCAAAACATAACCAACGAAACCTTGGTAGTGACTACAAGTTGAAATCGTGACTAATTCTTGCACCGCCCAGTGTACTTTTCTATTATTATTAATTGTTGGCAACAATGGCCGATTACGACCAGGTAAACAAACACTCCGTATATGCATCAAATGTAACATTTGTCGTTTATTTTCCCAGAGAAAAAGTCGATCCCTCGCCGGCAATCTAGGCATACTCTTTTTCGTTATAGCTTTCATCCTAGTAACCGTCGCATTTTCGACCCCCAGCTGGTTAGTGTCCGATTACCGTATCACGGGGGCTAAACTCGACCGCTTCGGGCTGTGGATGCATTGTTTCCGGTCGCTCCCCGACCCCTACGACTACAACCAGAATCGCTTCTTCAGCGGTTGTCGGTGGCTGTATGACCCCTTCACCACGGGGTATGACAAGATTCGGGGTTTCCTCATTCCCGGCTTCATGGTGGCCACCCAATTCTTCTTTACGTTGTGTTTCATATCAGTTTTGATTTGTGCCATCTTGACCTTATTGTATTTCCTATGTTGCGGCCCCGATCAGAAGCAATTCATCACTTTGATAAGGTTGAACGCGTTGATTCTGCTCGGAGGGGGCGTCTGTGGATGCATCGCTGTTATTATTTTTGCTTGTACGGCCAATACAAACGGGTGGATGCCCGGACACGATAATAATTTCTTTGGCTGGTCTTTCGTCCTGGGGTGCGTGGGGTCGGTGGCGTGTTTAGTCGCCGCCGCACTCTTTTTAACAGATTTGTATATCCAGAGGAGGAAGAGGGAACAATTAATGGAATCTCAGACGAGGTTTGAACTGCAGAGGGAGTCGAAAGCTTGACGAAAATTCAATCATTCCGTCCATGTGTACAAATTTTTTGCTTTGCATTGATGCGTGTATTTTTAGTTTTTATGCATTGGTATTACTTAATTTAAGTAATTCCCGTGGTGTAGAGGTCAAGAATTGATCTTAATTATTTAGTCCGTCCATTTTTAGGTAATTTGTTGTTTTTTGACCATTTTATAACATGACATGTGAGATTATCAACGCAAAAACCTGCCTTACGGAAAATCGCCTTTTTTATATCTAATGTACTTTATAACTATATTAAAGGTTATAATAAAATATTTTTTATACTTGGTTTTAATTGCATGAACGCTATCATTTTCCATAATTAAGGAAAAAAATAGAGTGACGAATCAAACAAACATGAAGTGGGCGTGCCCTATTGGAATACCAACTTACCAACTTAAGAAATGTAAACAATCAAAATTCCCAAGCCCTTACTAATTGTTATATTTTGCAAACGTATAATAATTTCGCTTATTTCCACGATTTTGGTAGTTTTTATACAAAATGGTGCGTGCGGGGGAAAAGAACGAGTACCCCAAAGCTTCGGGTACGTATTCAACCCATCGTTTGAGACACAAATGACACACCTCTTTTTTAGGTTATCTCGTGAATGGGGCCCTCCTCACCTACATCGCCGGTTTATTCCTCATGATCGCTTTCTGCAGGTTTAATTCCACTAAACCCTGAATCACTCACCCCTAAATCTCTATTTTCAGCCCTTACTGGGTCAAATCCTTTGAAGAGACGTTCTCAGAGTTCAAGAACATGGGACTGTGGGAGTATTGTTTTGAAAACTTCCGCTACCCTTACTACCAATTCGACCACCTCTTCAACGGCTGCCACCACGTTTTCAGTCAGGAATTTCACGTAATCCGTGAATGGATACTCCCACCTTGGCTCATGGCAGTCCAGGCTTTTGTAACTATGTCTTTCCTGCTTAGCTTTGGATCTCAGGTCGTTATGGCGCTTCAACTCTGCCGTTGGCCCCTCGATTTCATTCTTCGCTATGAATGGATTTTGTCAGCAATAGATTTTGTTTGTGTCACAACTACAAGTGAGTCAATTATTTAGATATTTTAGCATTCTCTTTTCCTCAGCTGTTTTCATGTTTTTTGCCGTTGCCGTCTTTGGAGGATCGCACGTACGTCGCGATTGGTTGATGTACCCCAACTATAATTACCTTTGTTGGTCTTATGGTTTAGCGGTAATTTCATTCTTTTTCCACGGTTTTGCTGCAGTCTGTTTGTATTATGAAGCACGTCAGAGCTACAAGTTCAGAAGGGAATCGAAAAGTCTCGTCATGCAAATGCAACCAAATCCTCAGCATAATCTGAGATGGTAAAAAACACGCATTTTTGCACCGTGTGCCTTTTGAAAGATATTTTTGTACTGTGAATAGCAGATATAAATAGAGCACTAACGTACATACTTCTAATTAAAATCTTGTAAATATACGAAAAGTATTTTTTACAAGGGAAATTAAACATTCCGTCCACTTCTGCTTGCATGCGCCTTAATAATCTTCTAAGTACTAAGAATGAATCTTAAGTTTTTATACTCTTGTATTATTTAGAATTGTTGTTATTTTTTAAGTTGTAGGTTTATATAATGTATTTAAGTAATTTTATATCCGTTTGTTAGGTACGCTACTTTTTCATACTTTCGATTAAACGTGTCATGCACAATAAATATATAATACACTATGTGTATTGTTAAGTGTTTTTTTTACTCACCTGGTATATTATAGTCCTGTGCTAATTTTAAAATTGTTTCGATCGTCAGTAGACTTAGATTTGCGTCGAAAATTATTAAAGGTGTTTTTTTGATGATTTCTTCATTTTCTAAAACCTAGAAAAAAAAAATTTGGTTATAACAGACTACGCTAATGGCAAACTTTACATTATTAAGTTATTACTTATATAAAAGATAAGATAAGGTGACGTCAGAAAGAGTAAATACTTTCATTGGTGAATACAAATGATCAGTGTTTTTGGAGCTTGGACGATGAGAAACCATTTTTTATACCGGATGAAAACAAAAGTACTTGAACATATTAAATATAATTTCTTTAGCTAAAAATATCTAGAAAATTATTGCTGCATATTCAAAAATACGATGTTTGGTTACATTATTAAAGTTTGGAGCCATAACTTTACACGAGATTATTTAATCTATAATAAAATTTCAGTGTCGATACTTTAATCTCGTGAAAATATACACTGCTTAAAATATAAAACGTTCAATACAGTCATTAACTATAGAAGCTTATTTTTAGTAGCTTTAATTCTTAAAATAAAAAATTATTATTTTAAACGGCTATAAATTTCTTCCTCACTTAAAACTAATAAAAATTAACGTAAAAGTTAGACAAGCTTTCTATCTGCAAACAATCATAATTGGAAATTGTAATTTACTCCTAAATTATTTTTGTTTGTTTTTCAGCTTTTTTTTGGTTAAGAATTAATTGAATCTAACAATGGACATTTTACTCGAAAGTAGGTAACAGTTGTGATTTTATTTCTATACAGTACTAAGGCAAATTTGTATTAATTTCTTTATTGGTGTGATTCAAGTTCTTTATTAAGATACAACCGCCAATATCAAAGTGTCAACGAAAATCATAATTAAATCATTCTCAATCGATAAAAGTTGCGCAGAAATTTTGTGGGACTTTGTTGTCCCAGTTTTATCCTCATACAAATTCCTGTTGAAGTCATAAATCAGTACTATCAGTTTGCAGCTTTTATTTTCACAACAAAACAAATAAAACCCAGATAATACTCTGCATTCAAATCTAGATTTTGTAAATTAGCAAATGCATATGTATCGACCCTAACAAAACATTCATATAATTTATACGATTTAATCTTACCACCAAAAAAAAAACAATTTTAAATTTCTCAGCGACGACAAGGTCATAATTTCGGAAAATTAATCAACGAACAGCTCCAGACATTGATTAAAGTTTCGCCTAGGTGCCAGATACATTATCCTCCCGTTTTCGCGACAAAATAAACGACCACTAAGAAAATAAAACAAACCATTTCCGGCGTTAGATGCTGATGAATTTCCATATCGCCTGCCAAGAATTTGCATTCACCGTTCCTGTCCAGGACGATGGTACACTGACCCGTGCTGCGACCTTGCAATACCTTCACCCCTTCCAGATTATCCTTCGGGATGAAATTTTTCAGGATATCCCCTTGCGGATCGTCGCCCAGGACCGACATGAAGATTGACCGGAACCCCAATTTCAAAAGGGACTCGCAAATATTCCTCGCCACGCCTCCTCCACTCATCATAGATTTTCCAAAATGGATCCGGCCATCCAACTAATTTTTAAAATAAAGCAATTAGTGGAGAATTACTTCGCCCCCGGAGCTTTGACAAATATGGCGGAGGTGCCGGGTGAAACCTCCGGAAACACTTCGCCACTCAATTATCCTCAATTTAATTGGAATTCCTGTAGCAAAGACGCAAAATTTATCGATTCGTCTCCGCCAAATAATTTTATTTTAATTGTATCTTGTCTCGTAATTAATACGAAGACTTGAATTTGGTGTCTAAGACATGTCAAATGATGGGTGAGGAATTCGTTTAATTTAGATACGCCGAAACCTGTCAAAGACGTGATTTACGCGGGTAATTAGTCACACCAATTTGAAATAAACAAACGGTCGCCTTTTTATCCAACTCTGACAAGTTTCCTATTTCTGAAAGCTTTGATGCATCTCCAAAGCGAATTTTAAAGTTGCTGTTTTACATTAAAAATAGATGCTTGCCCATTATTGATGGCGCAATTTTCCGGGAAAATGTGCGGGTATTTTCGAGTTAAATAAACATCGGTTGTTCTTTCGCATTCGAGTCAAACTTTTGTCCTGTTTGCATTTATTTTAAGTCGGGATGAAGTTTTTTACGGGCTTGATAACTTCCTCAAAGGCCATTTATTCATACAGAAGGGAAAAAATCGACGCTCTTGACGTCACAACGGACGGAATTTTTACCACTGGAAATGGACGAATAAAAGTGAAAAGGGGTCCGGAAACCATAATCATTTATTACTAGTTTGTTAACGCGTTCTGACGACAAGTCATACACATATTTTTTATGAATCGATGTGAAATTAAGGCAATAGAAAAAGAAATGGGAGATTTTCCGATTTATATTGACATTACYAGCCCAACTCATTACGTCTGATCATAAATTCATTAAAAGCCTTACATTTGTAACAAATAACAATAATGTAATCCCCAACATTATTGATTTTGTATTAGTTTTTCAAATAAACAGCTTCACATTACAACAAGCACTTTTTATTTATTTTACTAATGATTGCAAAAAACTATAAAACAACCATTCGTTTTCAGTTTTTTTTAATAACATTAAAATAAAGTACATAATTCAAAGTTAGAAAAATTCATCAGTTTCGAAATCGTGAATCGAACTAAACATATATTTCTATGAGACAATTTATCGGTTATGAAACAAAGGTTTTTCTTTCACCTTTCTGATTTTCAAGCGATTTCATCTCTATAAAAATTTCAAGGTCGTTAGATAATGTTGCTCTTGCGTTTGAAACGCCTGTCTGAAACAGCTCGAGGTGTAAACAAATAGTTTTATTTCATTTATTTGCTTTCAAATATATGTTGTAGTAATTTAAACAAGGAGCTCCAGTGTTTATGAAACTGAGACTCGCAAAGTTAATTCTATTGTTTGTTACATTAAACAGTTGTGTTTAGCCAGAATATATTGTTTCTTCCTCTTTGCAAAGATACATACGAAAAGTAAAATACGAAGATTTAACATTTAACATAATTTTATTAAAACATTAATATCGAAAAATCTCATGTTAAAATCAATAACATTAAATAAACGTTCGTTTTTAAAAATAGAATATAATTCATTTAATTTACCCAACGCTCCAGGCACTCTTGTATGTATCCGAATCCATTAATATATATTTACGAAATAAATTGTACTTCGCTCTTGTAAATAAATGGACAAGAAAGTGTCACAAAATTATAATCTTTCTGGAAAATGCAAGCGACATAAAACCCGAAATGAAGATTTTACGATTCGACTTTTCGTTTTACGATCCGTGCAAAATTTCACTACTACACTCCATAACATCTCTTCCTTTCTTAAAGTCCTCAACAATAACAAATTTGTCGCCGATTTATACCGGTTGCACTTGACGCCGTCTAATCCTATTGTTCGATTCCTGCTTTTGATGCGCAGGAATCCCTTCCGACAACCTCGAGTGCTCCTTCAGTTAACTGTTTCGAAGACTCTTTCCCTCACGTTCCGTGCCGTACCGTTTTTCGGCCGTTTCGCATCCCTATTGAACGTAGTCAAATGTCTATCGGCGTGCTGTATGGTGGGGATGCGTCGTCCCACCCCTGTTCCGCGGCGTCTCGACGCCGACGTCGTTGTTCAGTCCAGTGTGCGGATGATGCACGCGTGTAACTCTGGTGCAGTCGTGCCGCGAAAATCCACAATGTTGAAAAGTAACCGACGCGTCCATCGATGAAAGGCGCGAGACGTCGCGACGCCTCATCGAACATGTAAATCGTGTGCTAAACTCTGGTTAAAAAAACACAAAACGACAATTTACCCAAAAAAATACGAAAACACCATCGACTGAAAGGTACAGATAAAATATTAGATGTAGTTTTTTGGTGTTAGTTGTTCTCGAAAGTGACTGATTTTTCGACTTGTCAAAATTTTCTCCATTCAAAAATTTTTGCGCAATTTTTGAGTGACGGTCTCTTAAAAATCAATGAATGGAGAGAGAGTAAGAGACCAGCTGGCTGAGATCTTGCCATTATTCCAAACACTGCCACAACATAACGAAAGTTTTTTTCCGATATTTATGCGAGCTTTTTGACTCGAAATGCGTAAATGCGTAGGCGTTGGCCTTCGTTAAAGATATAAAGATTGCGTAGGTCAATGGAGATGCGTGTGAAGGGATGGARTATATACGGGGTGAGCAAACTAAAAATAATCCATTTCCAGGATCAACGAATACAAAAAAATCAGGTTAGGTTGTGATCCTTCACTCTTCTAAAAGCTACTTGTGTTGATTAGCTTTAAAGTGGTCGGTCTATTGACTTTCGAGAGTATGTACGTTAACTATTTTCATTATATGCCTCGAGCACATCGAACAAAGCTTTGTGTCCCAAATTTTAATTATTATATATAACGGATTAATGAAAAAGTATTGCCACATTTGATTTGACAGTTGTGATAATACTTTATTCCAAAAATCAAAATAATTTGTCTTGGTTTTGATGAAAGTGATAACTGATAACATAATGTGCTACTACGTTAATTAATAAACAAATAAAACTATTGAGTAAAAAATTAAACATTTCATTTATTAGATATTCATTTATAATGAAAAATGGATTAAATGCAAAAACTAAAAATAACAAAATGAGGTTATTGTTTTTCAGTTATTTATAGAAATCTATTTACATTTTTAAAGTGAAATAATCCTATCAATTCAATATAGAATCACAAAATCAACTAAATAAATTAACCTTGAGAAAAATAGTTCCTTGAAATACTTTCATCAAAATTTCAAAACTTCTATTTTTAATTCCGTTAACAGTAACAGTTGAGTAATTTATTAAGAAAATTGCACGAAATAAAGTTACGATACTTGTCTCGTTAAAATAAAATTACTGACCTTTCCCTTGGAGTTTTCATAATTAAAAACATTGATTCGTGAGCTCATTAAGCCATTTAACGACCTGTCAATGTTAAATAAAAAATCTGAAAATTATTGAACCCTTTTCGCCGTCAAAATAATTGCATAGCCGGGAATCAAAGAAGCGCATTTAGTGAACGTCCTTTTTAAAAGTTTTCCTTTCATCATGTTAAAAATTCCTAAAAGCTTTACAAAAGCTCGCCAGGACGAATTTTTGTTTACGTGACTAAAAATAGTTTCATACTTTGGATTAATAGGAACATAACGGGGGCGGAAATAAATCGATGAATATTTAAAGTGTGTTTTGATAATTTGTGCTTAAAGGCACAGCCACGATTTTAAAGTTTAGGGCTTCCAAGGAGAGCATTATTCCTAGAGAATGGCGAATTAATATCCGAAATCTGTGAAAAACTTGATCAAAAGGCGAAACTTCTTCTACATTTGCAGGATTATTTAAAGTAACAGCGTCGGCGAATAGAAAGGAATTCTGAACATTATTCGACTTTTGATTACACTTTCCATCATGTAGCAGAAATTTACAGGAAAGTCTTGTCTCGACTTTTATACGCATTCCTGTCTCGAATAAAGTCCCACTTGTTACCGTTTTCTTGCAAGTTGGCAGTTATAGCAGCATAAAAATTCCTGCTCTAGTTGATAACTTAAATCACCCCGATAAGCCGTACAATTCCTGCAGCGGCTAAAATTATCGTTCCGGTGGTCAAAAAAATTCGATTATAGAAAGCACCACCGCAACGTCTCGCAGGATCACCTTCAACAGCTTGCGAATTTCCCAAGCAACGTGCCGAGAATTTGAAATTCGTGCAAATTTTCACAGGAAGAGAGTCTATTTACTTAAGGGAGCGATAAATTTCGTATTTATTCAAGACAGAACACATTTCGTCCATTAAAATTTCATTTTTTGTGTGTCTGAATGTAGGAAAAATGTGACGTCACGTCGCCGGATGAAAAATCCGGTTACCGGAATAAAATTAATACAACGTACCGAATGCAAGATTTTTACCAGACGATTCGTCTGTTATGGATCGAGAAAAGTTATTGTTTGTTTGTGCTCCAAATCCGATCGGGTAAACAACAATCAGCCGATTTTTCGAACCTCGTTTCAGCTCTTTCCCTTGTCTTAGATTAGTGCGACGTTTAAATGTTTGATTTGATTAATGAGAAATTCGAAGAATAGAGGCATTGTGTGGGTTCGCAATTCGCGAAATTACGTCTTGTTTACAAGAACACGGAAAATCAACAGATTTAAGTTAGAACGTTTGACCAAGAAATGGAAACTTACGTTAACTCGACGAAATTCGAACGCAACGTTACTCACATTTAGGCCGTTTCAAATCAGATTTTCAACTTACATTCGACTGAGATGTAAATACCGCTTCTTGAAAACGATATTCAAATAACGGGTGCGAAAGTCGCTACGAATCGAAAGCAAATATTTCTAAGGTTTTCTTAGCAAGTTCTAAAAATGCAGACATGTTTTTTCACTATTTTCATTAAACATTTTTATCTTACTTTATAAAAAGCCCGTAACTAACTACAGGTGGGCCTAAGTCGGCCCTGGCACCAAAAATTGTTCTGGCCCATWACCCTTTGGCCCACCTGCTTCAAAACTAAAAAACATCAGATTTACTAGAAAAATAAAAACTGTTTATATTATTGTTATTTCCTGAGCAATTCTTAATATCATTAATAAGTTTTTTAATTAGACATATTTGTTAGTTTTTAAAACATTGACTATTGTCAATATTGTCATTCGCTTTTATCATAACATAACATATGGGTTTTACGTAACTCATATTAAAAAACTTTGGACTTACTGTAGTCCAACCAAATACGGGGTCTCAGTTCGGTGCCTGATAAACGGTCAATGAAAAATTCTATAATTTTACCAATTTTGAGCCATTTTACACACTCCTGTATTTTGTCAAATTACTCCGTTTTCTCGACGTGCCACATAAACTTGTCGCTCATAAAAATTAGCATAAAAAGTGTTATAAAACGCGAAGATTATTAGCAGTATGCGAAATAAACTCTTGGAGATTATAAATCGTCTCTAATCTCCTACAAAAAAGCTAATACATGTAAGGATGACTCCTTATCTACTTTCCTTCGCTCGTAATAAAAAAAACGATATTTTATATCAACAAACCGACACGAAACGCACCTAACAATTTACAATTATTAAAATAAATAAATAAAACAATAAACTGTGTATATTTTAAGTGTATTGTGGAAATTTATGATGACGTTTACAACCAGGAGAACACGCGAGCTGATTGTTTTGACAGCTCATACGCGAGATTAGAGTCTATTATTATTGCCGAGGAGAAATTTTTCTCGAGTTAATTAATTTTTCATAAGTCCTTCCATTTATCATTCGCAATTTACAAGTGTGTAATTAGGTTGTTGTACTAAAGAAGTGAATTATTCATGAGATTAGACATAGGCGTGGTGTGTTTAACGCCGTTTTTTATACGCCGATTTATTGCCGTTTTCAATCCGTGCGGAAAAATTCCACCATTTTCGTTCGATGCCAAGTTTTAATACAGACATGCAGACGTCTGCCGACATTGTCATAATTTCCGCGACATTGGCGCAATTACACGCAACTCCTAGAGTTTTCTACTTATATTGACGAAGGTGAATGTCAAGAACCTGATTACTGCGACATTTTCCGCACGACAACTTGTTTATCGAACATAAAAATAATTTTCGCCATTTGAATTGAATCGTAATCACTAGTCATAGCTAAACGGAAGTGAATGTTTGTTTATTTACAAATGAAAAACTCCTAATGAACTTTAATCAATCCCGGTTGACACGATTAAAGGTTACCTGCCCCAAGGGCAACTTGGCAAATAAGTCGTTATCCTGGTCCAAGGAAAAAAGGGACCAATAAAGAAGTTTCGACGTAGGGTTGAACCCTAAGTTCTATCGGCTTAGAAATTGACGCCACTGTCTTTAAATCGGTTTATTATGTTCGGGGCTGAGTTGTTTTTCAGGTTGAATGAACTTCGGAAGTTCTGCTAGTTAAGATCATAATACGAGCAATTAATCCCCTTCTGATGCGAAAACTCGGCAATAAAGAGTGAAAAAAATTAAAATTACAGCATTTGACATGGGATTTCGAAGACTTGAGATAAATCGAGTTCATAAAAAGTCCAAGTTGTGTCATCAAAAGAACTCTATAAAATGCGAATTTGATGTTGTGATGCTGTTTTATGACCCGATGATAACAATACATTGTCAGCGGTACTTGTACATGTTCATAAGGGAATAATAGAGACAAACAGTGCCTTCATAATCGATCAAAAGCCACCTAGCACCAAACTTTGAGAGATTACCTGTTTTACATGAACATTTACTATTTGCTAGGTACCATTACTATTATTCTTTTGTTACTAGCTATTATAATTACTCCATTCACGTGGCTCTCTATCATCTATTATTTTATTAGACATTTAAGTAAACAGCTAAAAATGTCTTACTTTTTATCGTAGTAAAACCTACTGTTAGACAGGATACATTTTACCGCCAAAATGCATTAGAGAAATAAGAAAGAAAAAATGTTTATTTTATTCCTTTTCCTCTTTAGAACAATAACACAAAGTGTGTGTGATTTAACTTTTACAGATTTTCAAAAATCGTAAAAGGTGATGTTCTGAAATGCAACAGAAAAGGTCACGATTTTCTTTCTATAGCTTTTACTACTTGAAATAACGCCCCCTTTTAACAACAAAAGAATCCTTCAATAAACTTGTCATGCCCCACCCTATAATTACCTCCTTTCTTCTCGCTCAATCATTGTTAAAAACCATTAAAATTTATGATATTCCTTTAAAAATAGAAAAACCAAAGAACGCTTTTTGCGGACATTAAATACGCATCTCCTTTTGTTCAAGTTTTATCAATGTAGG